AGCAGACGCTCTTATCCAGAGCGAATTACAGGAGCAATTAGGGTTAAGTGCCTTGCTCAAGGGCACATCGACAGATTTCTCCACCTAGTCACCTCAGGGATTAGAACCAGCGACCTTTCGGTTACTGGCACAACGCTCTTAACCACTAAGCTACCTGCCGCCATGTGTATTGCGTGGTGCATGTGTATTGCATGTGCAATTTGAATGCACAGAGATACTGTGACGAAATCCGGAGGCCCATTGTCGTGCCATTCATCTGCCGCCATCACCTCATGTTTCAGCATGATAATGCACGGCCCATGCCACAAAGATCTGTACACAAATCCTGGAAGCTGAAAATGTCCCAGTTTTACCATGGCCTGCATACTCACCAGACATGTCACCCATTGAGCATGTTTGGGATGTTCTGGATCGAAGTGTAAGACAGCGTGTTCCAGTTCCCGCCAATATCCAGCAACTTCGCACAGCCATTGAAGAGCAGTGGGACAACATTCCACAGGCCACATCAACAGCCTGATCAACTCTATGCGAAGGAGATGTGTCGTGCTGCATAAGGCAAATGGTGGTCACACCAGATACTGACTGGTCTTCTGATCTACCCCCTACTTTTTTTTCAAAGGTATCTGTGACCCACAGATGCATATCTGTATTCCCAGTCATGTGAAATCCATAGATTAGGGCCTAATGAATTGATTTAAATTGACTGATTTCCTTATATGAACTGTAACTCAGTAAAATCGTAGGAATTGTTGCATGTTGCGTTTATATTTTTGTTCAGTATATATTTGGATAAATGTATGAGTATTCTTGGTGTGTTCAGTGTTGGCACTTAGAGGTACTATAAAGCAAACAGTGATACGTTGACTGGTCTTTCTGCGGCATAGTACCAGAAGTCAGGACTTACAAAGGAAAGATTGAAAGGAAGAGGAATGCTCTCGCTCATCGTCAGAACAGCCTGAACAGACTGAATGGGCTGATGCAGCTCCCTGAAGAAGAATGGGACAATGGGACGGAGAAATGAGAGAATAGTCCTTCACATGGTTCGTTGAGGGGTCGACTACGATATCCTCATATTATGCAACAGGCCTGGGAACTTAGTGTTTCTGAAGCAATTATTTGGCATCAAAGCACTTTTTGGACAGATTTACTATGCGTTTGCAGCAAGTGCAAAGCTTGAATTTGTTTGTTTTTAAGTGAATTAAACTTGGAGTACAGAACACAAATAGAAAAATGAGGGTGAGGAGAAGATATAATTTAAATAAATAGTTATATTTTAGCTTTGTCCTTAGTGTTTTATCCCTTACTGAAAAAAGCATTGCACACACCAAATACATATGTTTCAATAATAATCATTGGATTGGGATGCAGCCTAAAGCTTTTCTTCAGTTCTTTGAAAACTAGCCTGGTGGCCACTGCAGCGCTGACTGTGGATGTTATCTCATTCTAATGAAGCTGCCATCTACAGTTAGAAAGGGAAAAATGACTTGCCTGAAGCGTCAATTAAGCACACAGTGGTACGAAGCATACAGTCTGTAGGGTTCAGAAGAGATTATGGGAAAGTGGTAGTACAAGATCATAGCATGCATAAAAGGTTAAGTGGGAAAATTCATAAGGTAAATGGTCTTTGAAGTGTTGTTGGAAAGGGGAACGTCTATTGCACTCTAAACATTCAATCTCTCTCACACACGCACGCATGCACACAGTCACGCACAACGCACAAACACACACACCTGTCTTCCTGTGATCTGTAGTGAGGGAGGGCTGTTGCCCAGAGCAGGAGGCTGAATGAATAAGACATGGTGCAGGAGTAGAGGTTAGGATCAGAAGGGGAAGTGAGCACCCTAGGCTAACGCAGAGCCAGTGAAGGGAGCCCTGATGGAGAGGTGAGGAGGGAGAAGGAGGACAAGATGGAGTGCGGTAGAGCGACAGAGAGCAAGACTGAGAATGCCCTTGGTGGTGTGAAACAGGGATGGATTGATGGCAGGGGTCAGTGAAAGAGAGAAAGCCCTGGGGGTCTTTGAAATGAGAAGAAAGACGACAGGGGATGTTTGGGTCTGTATAGCGAGTGGTGGATGTGGAAATGATGGACTGTTGGGGTGGACAGTAAACGCCATAAAGGCAGTGCATGGTCGGAAGGAGAAGATTAAGGGATCTCAGGTGACTGGAAGGGTGGTCAACAGAAAAATGCAGGATAGAGACGGAATAAAGATTGGAGAAAGACAGGTGGATAGACGGTTGAAAAATATGGGCATCCAAGTGTTTGTTTAGGATGAAATTGAAACAGGGAGGAGAAGAGATGGAAAGAGGATAGGAGGAGAAGAGATGGAAAGAGGATAGGAGGAGAAGAGATGGAAAGAGGATAGGAGGAGAAGAGATGGAAAGAGGATAGGAGGAGAAGAGATGGAAAGATGGATAGGAGGAGAAGAGATGGAAAGAGGATAGGAGGAGAAGAGATGGAAAGAGGATAGGAGGAGAAGAGATGGAAAGAGGATAGGAGGAGAAGAGATGGAAAGATGATAGGAGGAGAAGAGATGGAAAGAGGATAGGAGGAGAAGAGATGGAAAGAGGATAGGAGGAGAAGAGATGGAAAGAGGATAGGAGGAGAAGAGATGGAAAGAGGATAGGAGGAGAAGAGATGGAAAGATGATAGGAGGAGAAGAGATGGAAAGAGGATAGGAGGAGAAGAGATGGAAAGATGATAGGAGGAGAAGAGATGGAAAGAGGATAGGAGGAGAAGACATGGAAGGAGGGTAGCTTACCTTAGCTTTAGCTTTACATGAATACAAAATAGGGAAAAGTAATAGCATACAAGAGAATTGGATTGGATTTATAGAATGCTTTCCTAGATGCTCTTAAGTGCTTTACATTGATATGATGGAAATGTGCTGATGCAAAGGATAGAAAAATAAAAGTAGGGATGGAGTGAGGCAAAAGGAGGTAGATATTCAGGACAGAGTCAGTAGACTGAATGGTAGACTGACGCACAGGAGGTGGAATAGCAAAGACTGTATAGGACAGGAGGACAGACCCAAACTGTCCTAGAGGGAATGAGTGATTACAGAACAGGGACCAAACAGAGAAGACAGATGGACAGAGTGAGAGACAGGATGACAACTCCAGCGGAGGAGTGAGCGAGATGAGACTCCTGTCTATAAACCTGGGGAGGGGACAGGTCAGGTGTAGAGTACACAAATTAAACTTCCCAAAGTCGGTGTGTTGTCACTGAGCCAATTGCTGAACACAGAAGGTCACTTTTAACTGGAACAATGAACATCAAACGAATACATTCAAAATGCAAAGAGGATAATTTATATGGGTGCCAAACAAGGTCAAAGGAATATAAAGTGCAGAGAGAAGCAGTTGAGCATGTAACGTCCTGAGTGTTGTTCATTACTTTTGCAAAATGATCCACAGTAATGCAGTAGTTTTTTATCTTTCATCTTGATACAAGGCTGTGAATATTGCAGTGAAGGGAAGCGCTACCGATTGCATTCATCATTTGGCCGGTGCATTCTAAAAACCCAGAATTGTCACTCTTTCACACCAACTTTTTGAATGAATGTCATTATGATGGTAATTTTGTCACCTCTTATGGACAGTTTGTTATTGGCGGCATTAATTATCTGCTAGAATAACTATCTGAAGTCCCCAATTAACACTCAACCAGAGCCATATTCTCAGCTCTCATGGCTCTGGACTGAAACAACATTCAGAAATTGGCTTTTATCGTCCTTGTCCGATAAAGGGCAAAGTCATTGTGAAGATAAGAAAAACTTCTATCTCTTTATTGAAATGTTCTACTCTCTCTGGAGTGGGCCTTTGCGACTGCAGGCATCTTGGAAGCCTGTTTGAGAGTTTGGTATTTGTTTCTGTGTGTATGTTGAAGGGTGTTGCAGGGAGTGTGAGGACATTTGTGTGAATGTGTCAAAGTGCTACCTGGCACATCCCTCTGTAGCTCCAGAGCATTCCTCCCACTGCAAATCCCACTTCTGACACCAATGTAGCGAATCCCACTGCTAATACTGTTGTTGTGAATCCCACTTCTAACACCAATGTAGCGAATCCCACTGTTGTTGTGAATCCCACTTCTGACACCAATGTAGTGAATCCCACTGCTAATACTGTTGTTGTGAATCCCACTTCTAACACCAATGTAGCGAATCCCACTGCTAATACTGTTGTTGTGAATCCCACTTCTAACACCAATGTAGAGAATCCCACTTCTAACACCAATGTAGAGAATCCCAATTCTAACACCAATGTAGAGAATCCCACATCTAACACCAATGTAGAGAATCCCACATCTAACACCAATGTAGAGAATACCAATTCTAACACCAATGTAGAGAATCCCACTTCTAACACCAATGTAGAGAATCCCATTTCTGACACCAATGTAGAGAATCACACTTCTGACACCAATGAAGAGAATCCCACTTCTGACACCAATGTAGATCATCCCATCTCTGACACCAATGTAGAGAATCCCACTTCTGACACCAATGTAGAGAATCCCATATCTGACACCAATGTAGAGAATCCCACTGCTAGTACATAATGTTGTGAATCCCACTTCTGACATCAATGTAGATAATCCCACTTCTGACACCAATGTAGAGAATCCCACTGCTAGTACATAATGTTGTGAATCCCACTTCTGACATCAATGTAGAGAATCCCACATCTGACACCAATGTAGAGAATCCCACTGCTAATACTGTTGTTGTGAATCCCACATCTGACACCAATATAAAGCATCCTACTTCTGTCACCAATATACAGAATCCCACTGCTAATACTAATGTTGTGAATCCCACTTGTGACACCAATGTAGAGAACTCAGGCGACCAACTGTCAATGTATGGATCCAAGATGGACGGCCAATGCACCAACTGGCCACTCTGAATCCAAACACTTTGCTCTCTGATATTTTATTTTTGCAAGTGTCCAATTTACGGACGATCGCAAGGATATTGCACATAGGACTATTATCAGGCATTATGAAAAGTTTGATATAGCCTTTGTGAACTAATATTTCTTGCTCTGTTTCTTTGCTCTCTCTGTGTTGTACAGGTAGTGAGCTACTGTATCGCACACGTGAGGGGGATGTTGTCAGGTTCAACTTGGAGACATACGAGAGGACAGTATTGGTGCACAACAAAATGTTTGTGAGTCTCCAACTTTCTCTTTTTTTCCACAGTAGATACATCACTATAGGCCAAATAACAGAATGTGGTTTTTGCATGAATTTAATTAAAACTGTTCTTTTTTGTGTCATCATATCAAAGCACCCAAAGCTCTTTTATTGTGACGCGTACTGAAACGATCCATCATTAGCACATCGTTTGATCTGGCTCGTTAACATTTGGGTTTGCTACGCATCGACTGTTTCTGACGAAAATGCAACGTCAGTGTCGAAACGGCCGAGGTGACGACACACAGTATGTTTGTCCCTCCGAAATCAGAAAGGGCCGCGACAAGATTAATGCGTCTCCCGCCCGCGCCGAGCAATCCGTCAAATGCAGTCATTTAAGGATTGCCTTAAAGAAAAAACACTACGCATGGTTAAAGGTCTCATCTTCTGTCGTTTTTCTTTCTCTCTCTCTGCTTTTCAGGAAATGTACAAAGCCAGCAAGTATGAAGTGTCTCCTGACATGAAGCATGTGCTGCTCGCTTACAATGTGGCACCGGTGAGCTCCTTCATTTGTTTGCTTGTTTTTTGAATTAGCAGAATGACAGGCACATACTTCAGCGGGCTCTGAGGGGAAACGTGGCGAGGCGGTGGGGGAGAAAAGTAATCATGGCGCCCGAGTAGAGGCCTGTCGCACCCTGCTGCCTCTCAGCCACGGTAGAGAGAAAACAGCTGAGTGGAACTGTGCTCTTCAGGGAGGGGCCAAAACACAAACAAACCCCATAACACAGCTGAGAGAGGGGGATGAGAAAGGGATGGAGGGAATGGGAAAGCAAAGGGAGGGAACGAGGCGAGCAGGAGAGTAGAGAGATTTGGGGTAGTAAGAGTGTGAGAGAGGGAGGGAGGGAATGAAAGGAAAAAGAGAGGGATGGGAGGTTTTTCTACAACAGTTACTGCATTATGTAATGGCTCAGGTAGCTAACTCAACTGGAAGACTACTGCAATGTGAGATCCAGGACACAGTCTGAAAAAGAATCAGTGATATATGTCAGGGAATAGAATCCCATTGGCCCAGAGAGACACAGAGTGTAGACACTGTTAGAGTAGGGAGGAAAAGGTGTAGACCTGGGCTAATCTTGCCATATACAGTACCAGTCAAAAGTTTGGACACACCTACTCATTCCAGGGTTTTTCTTTATTTGTACTATTTTCTACATTGTAGAATAATAGTGAAGACATCAAAACTATGAAATAACACATATGGAATCATGTAGTAAACAAAAAAGTGTTAAACAAATCAAAATATATTTTATATTTGAGATTCTTCAAAAAGCCACCTTTTGCCTTGATGACAGCTTTGCACACTCTTGGCATTCTCTCAACCAGATTCATGAGGTAGTCACCTGGAATGCATTTCAATTAACAGGTGTGCCTTCTTAAAAGTTAATTTGTGGAATTGTTTTCCTTCTTAATGCGTTTGAGCCAATCAGTTGTGTTGTGACAAGGTAGGGGTGGTATACAGAAGATATCCCTATTTGGTAAAAGAACAAGTCAATATTATGGCAAGTCAGCTCAAATAAGCAAAGAGAAACAACAGTCCATCATTACTTTAAGACATGAAGGTCAGTCAATAGGGAACATTTCAAGAACTTTGAAGGTTTCTTCAAGTGCAATTGCAAAAACCATCAAGCGCTATGATGAAACTGGCTCTCATGAGGACCACCACAGGAATGGAAGACCCAGAGTTACCTCTGCTGCAGAGGATACGTTCATTAGAGTTACCAGCCTCAGAAATTGCAGCCCAAATAAATGCTTCACTAAGTTCAAGTAACAGACACATCTCAACATCAACTGTTCAGAGGGGACTGTGTGAATCAAGCCTTCATGGTCGAATTGATGCAGAGAAACCACTACTAAAGGACACCAATAAGAAGAAGAGACCTGCTTGGACCAAGAAACATGAGCAATGGACATTAGACCGGTGGAAATTTGTCCTTTGGTCTGATGAGTCCAAATCAGAGATTTTTGGTTCAAACCGCCGTGTCTTTGTGAGACGCGGTGTGGGTGAACAGATGATCTCCACATGGAAAAGGTGGAGATCATCCTTTTCCTGCCGGGGCGGCAGGTAGCTTAGTGGTTAAGAGCGTTGTGCCAGTAACCGAAAGGTCGCTGGTTCTAATCCCCGAGCCGACTAGGTGAAAAATATGGCCTTGAGCAAGGCACTTAATCCTAATTGCTCTTGTAAGTCGCTCTGGATAAGAGCGTCTGCTAAATGACTAAAAATGTTTTTTTTAATGTAAATGTATTTCCAACCGTGAAGCATGGAGGAGGAGGTGTTATGGTGTGGGGGTGCTTTTCTGGTGACACTGTCTGTGATTTATTTAGAATTCAAGGCACACTTAACCAGCATGGCTACCACAGCATTCTGCAGAGATACGCCATTCCATCTGGTTTGGGCTTAGTGGGACTATCATTTGTTTTTCAACAGGACAATTACCCAACACACCTCAAGGCTGTGTAAGGGCTATTTTGCCAAGAAGGAGAGTGATGGAGTGCTGCATCAGATGACCTGGCTTCCACAATCCCCCGACCTCAACCCAATTGAGATGGTTTGGGATGAGTCGGACCGCAGAGTGAAGGAAAAGCAGCCAACAAGTGCTCAGCATATGTGGGAACTCCTTCGAGACTGTTGGAAAAGCTTTCCAGGTGAAGCTGGTTGAGAGAATGCCAAGAGTGTGCAAAGCTGTCAAGGCAAAGGGTGGCTATTTGAAGAATCTCAAATATAAAATATATTTTGATTTGTTTAACACTGTTTTGGTTACTACATGATTCCATATGTATTATTTCATAGTTTTGATGTCTTCACTATTATTTTACAATGTAAAAAAATAGTTAAAAGAAAGAGAAACCCTTGAATGAGTAGGTGTGTCCAAACTTTTGACTGGTAGTGTATATCAGGAACAGTGTGGTATCAGGAACAGTGTGGTATCAGGAACAGTGAAGTGTCACCGAAGGTGCATGACTGACAAAGTGTAATGGCACAACAGGGAGGCACTGATGCAAGTGTGTGTGTTAGACAGGGCATTTGTAATTTCATAATCATCCCTCCATAGCCCTGGTAGATGACAGCTCCGTCCCCCAGCTGTCATTGCACGGACGCGCACTCTCTCAATACATCATGCTGCTGCTTGCCCTTCACATAGGCCCCCACTCTCTCTCTCGCGCTCTCTCTCTCTCTCTCTCTTTCTCTATCTTTCTCGCTATTCAATCCCTCTCTTTCTCTCCCCCAACTCTGAGGGGGGTATTCAGAAGGACCACTGTAACAAGTGGCCCATACTTATCTCCTGCTACATTAAGAAGCATTCTACATGTCATCTCTCAGTCCAGGGCCTGCTAGTAGAATGCAGTGCAGACATGATTCCCTCTGGGGCCATCCATACGAAAAATGTCTGCATGTATGACTGACGAAGTCTCTTTGGATAAAAGGGTCTGCTAAAGGGCATATATTATATTATGATCACTGCATTTGTGCCCTGGACTTAAATTTGACCAAATACAGAATGACTTTGTAGACCAAATACAGAATGACTTTGTAGTATAAGGTATAACCTCCCAACCATATGCATATACATTCTGATGATAGTTAGCTACTAAAACATGTTTCAATGGCCAAGTTCCTCATGATAGTCTTCAATCATTCGTCTTCCAGGTGTACCAGCACTCGTTCACTGCCTTCTACATCATCTGCAGCCTGGAGACTCCGTAAGTAGCTGAAACCAACCAATGCTTCCCCTCCTCTCCCCTCCCTTCTCCTCTACTCTCTTCGGCCCAGTCAGTCAAGTCTCTGCGCTGCCACCCAGTGAAGACGAGGAGAACTGCAGGCCAGGGGACTTGATGACCTCATCCATCCTCCCCTCCAGACTAAGACAAAGGGCCAGTGACACCTCTAATTTTCTGTCCTGCAGCACACAGCACTTTTCTAAATGAACAGAAAGTGGCAGCGATATATAAAGCACCAGTATTTATAGGTGCTCTTAAACCTCTTGGGCTATACGACACTGGTATATCTGGGCAGGAGCAGTGCAGGCTGCTGGTGTGGTGCAGTGGAGTTTTTTATAGTGCTGTGTTTTGTTGAGGATCCACTAAGTAAGATGTTATTTTTAAAGAAGGTGCTCAGTCATTTATTGAGGGGCAGTTAAAGTTGTGTGTTGTTGTGTAGTGTGGGTGTGTGTAGTCTGATTGTGGTCTCTCCTCTGTGCTGCAGGGAGACGTGGAACCTGAACCCTCCAGAGGTGCGGAACGCCCAGCTGCAGTACGCAGGCTGGGGACCCACGGGCCAGCAGCTGGTAATACTACAACTCCCAGCAGCACCATCTCTGTCTCACCCATACTCCATACCCATATGTCACTGCTATTTGGCAAACCATGTCTGGTTATAATGTATTTCTAAACTGAGAGTACAATATGAATGCACTGTATCAATGACCTTTCCTATGGCCATGTATGTTTGTTAAACTATCACAAGCTACCAGGCAGTCTAGCCACAGAGAGAACATTAATAAGCATCACTCTAATGGTTCTCAGAACAGACAGACTGTGAGTGATTACATCCTCCAGCACAATGCAATTAATTACCTGTAATCTCCTCAGCGGATTAATTAGTGAAGTCACTGGATTGATATCACACACTCTCTCCCAGTATTAATCATCAAACACCCCTGATTCCAACAGTCACTTTCATTTGCTTGACCTCTGAGCTGTGATGCTTGTTGTCAATGATAAGATGCATGGGCGGGAGAGGAAGGTGTCAGCCAACGTGCGTTCACATATACACGCATGCGTGCACACACACACACACACACACACACACACACTAACATCAGCCCCTCCCCTCTTGATCCTCTCTTTAATTTCTCAAGCCCCTCCCCTCTTGATCCTCTCTTTAATTTCTCAAGCCCCTCCCCTCTTGATCATCTCTTTAATTTCTCAAGCCCCTCCCCTCTTGATCCTCTCTTTAACACACACAAACACAAACACACACAGCTGTCTTGTCCCATGTTGCAGAGCAGTGGAATTGGGTTAAATACACAGTGTCCTTTGATTCACCAGAGGATGGGCAGCTGTGTCTGTGTGGATGAACAGTAAGTGGTCCTCTTCCTTTAAATTGGAGTTGAATCCCCCACTGAGACGCTGAGCTTTGCTTGCTCTCTACCTTCCTCCTGCTCTCCCTCGCTCTTTCTCCCCCTCCTTTGCCCTACGTTTCTCTCTTTGTGAGGCTAATCTCCAGAGTTGTCAACCAGCCCACGATATGACCACACATCTCCCCAGACTCTGTGTGTTTACAGTGGGGGGAAAAAGTATTTAGTCAGCCACCAATTGTGCAAGTTCTCCCACTTAAAAAGATGAGAGAGGCCTGTAATTTTCATCATAGGTACACGTCAACTATGACAGACAAAATGAGAAAAGAAAATCCAGAAAATCACATTGTAGGATTTTTAATGAATTTATTTGCAAATTATGGTGGAAAATAAGTATTTGGTCAATAACAAAAGTTTCTCAATACTTTGTTATATACCCTTTGTTGGCAATGACACAGGTCAAACGTTTTCTGTAAGTCTTCACAAGGTTTTCACACACTGTTGCTGGTATTTTGGCCCATTCCTCCATGCAGATCTCCTCTAGAGCAGTGATGTTTTGAGGCTGTCGCTGGGCAACACAGACTTTCAACTCCCTCCAAAGATTTTCTATGGGGTTGAGATCTGGAGACTGGCTAGGCCACTCCAGGACCTTGAAATGCTTCTTACGAAGCCACTCCTTCGTTGCCCGGGCGGTGTGTTTGGGATCATTGTCATGCTGAAAGACCCAGCCACGTTTCATCTTCAATGCCCTTGCTGATGGAAGGAGGTTTTCACTCAAAATCTCACGATACATGGCCCCATTCATTCTTTCCTTTACACGGATCAGTCGTCCTGGTCCCTTTGCAGAAAAACAGCCCCAAAGCATGATGTTTCCACCCCCATGCTTCACAGTAGGTATGGTGTTCTTTGGATGCAACTCAGCATTCTTTGTCCTCCAAACACGACGAGTTGAGTTTTTACCAAAAAGTTATATTTTGGTTTCATCTGACCATATGACATTCTCCTAATCCTCTTCTGGATCCTCCAAATGCACTCTAGCAAACTTCAGATGGGCCTGGACATGTACTGGCTTAAGCAGGGGGACACGTCTGGCACTGCAGGATTTGAGTCCCTGGCGGCGTAGTGTGTTACTGATGGTAGGCTTTGTTACTTTGGTCCCAGCTCTCTGCAGGTCATTCACTAGGTCCCCCCGTGTGGTTCTGGGATTTTTGCTCACCGTTCTTGTGATCATTTTGACCCCACGGGGTGAGATCTTGCGTGGAGCCCCAGATCGAGGGAGATTATCAGTGGTCTTGTATGTCTTCCATTTCCTAATAATTGCTCCCACAGTTGATTTCTTCAAACCAAGCTGCTTACCTATTGCAGATTCAGTCTTCCCAGCCTGGTGCAGGTCTACAATTTTGTTTCTGGTGTCCTTTGACAGCTCTTTGGTCTTGGCCATACTGGAGTTTGGAGTGTGACTGTTTGAGGTTGTGGACAGGTGTCTTTTATACTGATAACAAGTTCAAACAGGTGCCATTAATACAGGTAACGAGTGGAGGACAGAGGAGCCTCTTAAAGAAGAAGTTACAGGTCTGTGAGAGCCAGAAATCTTGCTTGTTTGTAGGTGACCAAATACTATTTTTCCATTTTTTGCAAATATGCCTAAATCTTGTTAGTATCATCAATTTTGTCAAGTTAGAGCTGTAACTATGTAAATCAGGCTTTTGTCATCTTTAAATGAGACAATGCACAAGTATAATGTTGACTAATGACTTAAGATGACACTTACACTGTAAGCAGTTAGGCTGGGCCCTAGGAAACACGTTCACATTTGGTTCCTACCGTCAGAACCCTTGGTCAGTTCATTCGTTCAAACACACTATCACATGTGTCACAACGATTATATATAGATTAATCATCTTTGCTTCTATTCAACCACAAGTGTATTAGCTTCTAGAATTGTTTCTAATCAAACAATTGCACATTTGGTTTAAATGCCAGTTGGTTATCTATACGGCTAGACCACTAGTTGCAGTGTGGAAATGATCAAATGAGCACAAATAAGCAAGCAGCTGAAATGGTGAATTCGGTATGGCAAGTTATGAAATTTATACATGAAGTAACTAAGAACATATAACTGTAGCCAAAGATTATAGGGTCCCCTAGGAAACACTTTTCAACACTTTGGTTCCTACCCTGTCAGAACTCCTCCCTGGCATTTTCATTCGTTGTCATGTCAAACAACACTGTATTCAAAGTGCCCACTATTATATTATAACTATAGAATTAGAATAATCATTCTATTTCCATGATTCCAACTGTTCACCAAAGTGTTTTGCTCTGAATTACAAGTCAAATCACAATTGCAACATTTGGTTAAAAATAAGGCCTAGATTGTTTTCCCATATCGTGCAGCCCTACGTGGCAGTGTGGAAATGATCTCAAATGAGTACAAGAAATGCAGAGATGTAGCAAAATGCTGAATTTCTTGGGGGTTGAAGTTGAATTAAACAGTATAAAACGATCGGAATGGAAACAGACCCATTGATATCACTTAGAATGTATGTGTTGCCACCGTAGGGTCACGCACTACTCATGAAGCAAATGTAGAACATTTATTATTCAAAAACATAAAATACCGTCATACCGTCCAATTGTTTTCTAACACCGTGATATGATATTTTGGCCATATCACTCAGCCCTAATGGGAGGTAGCTTGGGCAGTGTTTCTACCTCCTTCAGAAGTGGGCCAAGCTCACCGTGTTATTCTCTGCCCTGGCCTAGATCCTGTTGTAAAACTGGGCCCTCAGTCCATCTGCACAGAGGTGAACTCAAACACACCTGTGTTCCCCTGGCCTACCTAGCCACACGAGCTGTCGTAGGAACCTGGTTATACCTGCAATGGCCGTTGTGATGCTATTGCTTTGTCTTAACTGCTGCAAGGAAAGGGAACATACCCTATCATCCCTGAGGAGAGGTCAACTATTGTTGAAGTATTTATTTATTTAAAATATCTTTCTGACTGTGTTTACATAGCATGATTCAGTCCATGTCAGTAACAGAAAGATTCCACGTGAACCAACGGTAAGCTCAAGGCCAAAGTTATTGAACTATCCTTATACAGTGGATTGATTTCAACATAAGCCCTACGAGCTCTGCAACAGAAACCGACCTGCTAAGAGCCTTTAATAACATGAGCATTATGTTTGATCATCAATGATTTGATATGGCAGATAGAGGTTTTAAATGTTTTTAGTGGGTAGAGAATCTGTAATGTGTGAAGAGGAACTATAATGCTCTGTAATGATGAAGCTGACCTTGAACTACCCAGCAGGTAGTGTATGCTACTACTAACAGTGGACAAAGAGGAGGGCAATACTGTAGCCCAGTAAAGGATCATTCTGCAATTAGGACTTGTATTGATATGCAATATTGGTGTTCAATGTGGTGAGGTAAAGGATTCATTATGCAGTACATTCTTTCTCCATTCTTGTTCACCTTCTTGCTTTCTCTCTCTTGATCTCCTTCTTTCTCTCTCCTTTCTCTCTTTCTCTCTCCTGAGCCAGAGTTATCAATCAATACTTAGACATACAGTACTATGGAGACAATATTACGTCCGTGACATGATGAAAGTATAATCCAATAACGAGGAGGCAGCAGGGTAAGTTGAGGCTATTTACTAGATTGTGCAGGTAGCAAATATGACTGCCATGTCGGCAGGTGACTGTGAACTTCAACACACGCAATATCTTTTTTTGATTGTATTCAACAAGGCCTGCTATATCGTGCCTTGCCAAACAAGCCAACAGCTGGTAGTAACAAAAACAGAGGCAGGCCCCCTTCAAACCTATCAGTTGGCCAACATTGCTGCAAAATGTTTACAATTCAAGTATTGCAGTGAATAGGAGAGGATCTAAAATATCGATAGAAACTTTTTGAGCTCAAATTCCTCATCTGATTAAAGCATCCTTCCGTCAACCTACAGGTCAAGTTTAGTCATGCAGAACACACGTAGGCTACATCCTGTATCATTGGCTATTCAACATCCTTCGTCCCTTCCATATTGATCACCTCAGTTTTTTCATCACTTTTTCTCTCATCTCCCTCTTCCCTTAGATTTTTATTTTTGAGAATAACATCTACTACCGTTCAACGGTGGAGAGCCGATCAATCCGCCTGGTCTCCACCGGCAAGGAGGGAGTCATCTTCAATGGGCTCAGCGATTGGCTGTACGAAGGTGAGATGACACTTTTATTGGCTGATGTGAATATTATTGGTGTTCTTGGTGGTGGTCTAATGGCGTGTCTGTCCCGTTGCATTGTCGTCCCCAGAGAATGCGGCACTTGAGTCAAAATTATTCTGTCATAAATCTTCAAAACAACAGAACTGTTATTAAGGCTAGTCAGAGGTGCAGTAAACAATTGATTTAGAGTGATACCAAAATGTAGTTAAAAACAGGAAAAGCGGCCAATTTTCTCCAGTTTCCCTGGGTTCTCACCACGGCTGTTCTACATGAGTAAATTAGCATTAATTCAGCAGAATTAATCTTCGCCGTCTGTTCTCCATTCTGATACAGATGTCTCCCTGTCTGTTTTGACTCGACCGATCCAAGCTCTGACTCCACCTCAGTGCCTCTGCCTCGTCCCCTGAGGAACAGACTGCCTCTCTGTGTTCAACTTTACTAATTAATTAATTTCTTCCGCTCCTCGTGTGTTTGGCTCTCTGCTTCAAGGCTTCTCGCTTTTAATAAGACAGAGACAGAAAGAGAGGGAGGAGTGTCAGGGAGGGCCTGGATGGCTGTCTTTTAGTTAGGGCCTGGTGTAGTGCTCTTCAATGGGTGGGGCGCAGTGGAGGCTCCTCAGAGGAGGAAGGGGAGGACCATCCTCAGTGAATTTCATAAAAATACAAATGGTAAAACATTAAAGTTCTCATTTTTAGATAAAACTATACTAAATATATTCACGTCACAAAATAATTGATTAAAACACACTGTTTTGCAATGAAGGTCTACAGTAGCCTCAACAGCACTCTGTAGGGTAGCACCATGGTGTAGCCGGAGGACAGCTAGCTTCCGTCCTCCTCTGGGTACATTGACTTCAATACAAAACCTAGGAGGCTCTTGGTTCTCACCCCCTTCCATAGACTTACACAGTAATTATGACAACTTCCGGAGGACGTGCGCCAACCTATCAGAGCTCTTGCAGCATGAACTGACATGTTGTCCACCCAATCAAAGGATCAGAGAATGAATCTAGTACTGAAAGCATAAGCTACATCTAGCTAGCACTGCAGTGCATAAAATGTGGTGAGTAGTTGACTCAAAGAGAGGGAAAGACAATAGTTGAACAGTTTTGAACAAATTAAAGGAGAAGCAAGAGAGAGAGATTTTGTTTTTAAAAAATAACTTTCAGTTTCACATAGCAAGCGAATGCAGCTAGCTAGTTTAGTCTACTCAAAACATCTGGCTCAAACAGAGGAATGCTATGTTAGCTAGCTGTCTATGACTATCCAACACAACACTGGAACTCTTCCAAGTCAAGGTAAGCTTTTGGTTGTATTAATTTATTTCCACCGGGGCCCGCCGGTGTAACCGCCATACTGCTTAGTGACTGTAACGTTACTGCATGATTGTAGGGGGTTTACTAACGCATTAGTTCTATTAGCTATGTTGACTAGGACGTTACTTTAGCTAATATGGTGACAACAATGTAGGCTGTGGGTAACGGTTGGGATATGGTTTGAAAAGGTTTTTTCGCCTGGTCACATACTGCTGATGTGTTGTGCATTGAAGTCCACAAACGAAGGGAAAAGGTGAGTGAACTGTGTTTACGTGTGATCAGGGGTGTATTCATTCCGCCGACTCTGTTGAAAAACGTTTCTTAAACGGAACGAAACGGGGATAAACATACCTGAATTTGTCCAATAGAAACTCTTGTTTGCAACTGTTGGACTAATGATTACACCCTAGATCAGCTAGATGCAGGCAAGGCGGTATTGACTGTCGCTGTCTGTCCATGTGTCACCTCAACATTTTCTCTAACCTGTGTGCAGCGACCTTGTAAACTTTCATTCATAGGCTAGGTTGTAACAACCTCATGATGGGTGTAGGGAAAATTTGAGTATCACGTAGTAGCCTGAACCTATCGATGTTATATTGAACTGGGTGAATGGAATATGAATGACAGTCATCCAATATGCTGTAATAGAAATAAGGCCATGCTCATAAAAAAAAAAAAATAAGTGTCCTCCCTCATCATAAACTGCACTGACCGCCACTGGTGGGGCGGCACCTGCCAACCTTTCGCTAGGTCTCTCGTGACATACTGCTAGTACACTGCTAGATGTGATTCTGGGTTTCAAGAGCAATCGTAAACTGGCAACAATATTACAAATGTTACCGTATGAAATTGTTTGTGGAGGCGTCACCGGCTGGAGCGCCCTTATGTATGTATTTTATAAATTGTCAAATAAATGTAATCAATCAAGGCTGATTTCTGTACGTGCATGTGCGTGATTGCGATGGTCATGTCTGCATGTGTGTGTGTGTGCGTGCAAGGTTGCACGCAATAAGTATGCTCTCGTTTTTTACACTACCTCTGTGTTAACTGTTAAAGTGTGTATGTAGCCTTTACAGTATGTGTGTGTTGACACACCCCTACCCCCAGATTAGTTTGACTGAGATTTTAAGATGAAGTGGAGCTCTTCCAACAGCAATATTAGTCTAAATCCATTGAAACTTTAGCCTGGCAATTTACACTCATCATTTATTAAGGAAGATGAATCTTTCAATGGGACGGGAGGGAGTTGACCCTGAGTTTGACCTGCCCCACAACGTAGACCTGCCGCTCGTATCATGTCACTCAATGGAGATCTCTTTATGACAGACTGCAGTCTTTCTGCAATAACACATTCAATGTTTGTATTGTGTGTTTGTGTGTGTGTGTGTGTTTAGTGGTGACATAAGCCGTGAATGGGAGAGAGAACTTGCCAGGTTGTGTAACATCTGTTTAGCTCTGCACCAGATGACAGCATGGTCAATCACAGTGTCAGGCATGGGGAGGAAAGCTCTCCCTGGAGTAAACACTCCACGCTTGCAGTCTAATTTTGTAGTAACCGTCTAAAACCCAGATGAGATTATCATTGTGTGTGTGTTGTACACTGACAGTCTTGCGTAAGGGGAGTCAGACAGACACCCAAGGCGATTATAGAACGCTTTGTCATCAGTGGCCTGTTTGTCAGATTAACTGACGTGGTGGAGCAGACAACATCCTGAAATATGATGTAGCCCAGGTATAGAACCAGTACTGGAACAGACAACACCCTGAAATATCATATGGTCCAAGGATAGAACCAGGATAGAACCAGAACAGAGTCTGGCACTCTTGATAGGAGCTGTTTGTGTATGCCCCCCTGGAGTTTTGGCTGCTATTGCACTTTTCACACACTGAGACGATTTTGTTTGTGTTTGTTTACGGCGGTGTTCATATCGGCACTCCAGCTGAGTATGACGCTTATTTTCTGAAAGATATAGCGGTAAACAACTGTGTGTGTTATATCCTATGTATTCTCTCTGTAAGCAGGCAGTTCAGTTGAATCTCGGTCTTGCTTCTACTGTCATCCACCAGTGGGGCTTAGTTCTAACACGTATCACCACTGCCCCCTAGTGGACGGGACTCGTCCTGCACCATGTGTTCTTTGCCTCAATTGTAATTTCTCTGAATCTCTCCTAGTCCTATCACACCTTGTCTTCGTAAAAATGTCTCAACACAGGAAGCACTACTCTTATCATAGCATTTTTTTTGGATCGGTTAATGGTTGTTGAATTGTGTCCTGGTAATGAAAGATATGTCCTTCCTTCTCCTCCTCATTAGTTTGGCCCACCTGATTCTGTCACATTACATTCATTAACTTCTATTGCCCACCTGCCTCAGTAACAGGGTGGCTCATGCATAAGTAATGTGTGTGTTAGGCAGTGAATAATTTAGACTCAGGAACAGCGAGTCTGTGAACCAGGTAGAATGGATGAGTGTGAGACTGCTGTAATCATAGCTATGGAGATAGAAACGGTTCAAAGAACATGAAAACGAAGGCGGGTTCACACACACACATTTTAAATACATTATTTGAATCCACAAATCACATTACATCAAGAAGGTCTTGGATACATGGACACTGAAGGATGCAAGGATACACATACACACAGGAGATGTAGCGTTGTGTCACAGACCACTAATTTCCTCCTCAAGCTAAATGCAATTAATACACACGCACACACACACACACACATACACACACACACGCACACATACACACACACATACACACACACACGCACACATACACACACACACACACTTTAGCAGCTGGGTGGGGATTGATGCAGAAAAGATTACATACGTACATTCAGTGTTTTTCTGCATGTGTGCACGTGGGCGTGCCCGTGGGCGTGTGTGTCTTCACCTGGCACTGCATATCAATAGAGCCCCCTCTGGGATGTAAGTGTGTGTCCTGTCGTGCATATCAACCTGCATCATTTCAAACACACACGGGCTCTGTAGGGACGCACAGAGGTCACAGGTTTTTGATTAAGTAAGCCAAGTACCAACAGCATGCTTTCTGTGTGCCCCAGCAGCAGAAAAGGGGTTACAAACAAACACAAACACACATACACACTCCAATTTCCCTGCGTACACCACCCTACACTGTCGCACCTGACTGGGTAATTACTTTTCCTGTTCCCTTTCCTGGTATGGATCTCGACTGGTGGTTGGTCGATGTAACTCTCTTGTGAGATTAAAAGCAGTGTTTTGATTTATGGCCGGAACATACAGTACTCTTCATTTTAGGGATTTTATGACAGCATCGAGCCAAACTGACTGCATTGCAATTGATGTTTGGGTCAGTATTTAATATAACCAATGTATCTGACGCAGGTCTGCACTGGGTGTTGTAATGTGGTTCCATTGAAACACATATTAGGTTTCTGTAAGGGTTTCATCATCTTCATTATTACTGAAACTAAAGGACATTTCTCTGGTTCTTTTCCAGAGGAGATCTTCCAGACCCATATTGCCCACTGGTGGTCACCGGATGGTGCCCGGCTAGCATATGCTACCATCAACGACACCATGGTGCCCAAGATGGAGATCCCCATGTTCACAGGAACTACTTACCCTACTGGGAGGGAGTACCACTACCCTAAGGTTAGAACAGTATGATTACTAACCTAGTACTGACTGAAAACCACTACCCTAAAAGCCAATTTATGCTTGATCCGAAAATGTGGTCGGAGCCTTCATATGGAGGGTGTGACGCAATTGCGGAGCCTCTGGAGGCATGCAGAGGCCACATCGAGCTCCGTACTGCATCCCCGTGCACCTCTCACATTTTGTAACAATGGCTCCGTAGCTCCGCATTGACATGATTGGCTGACAGTAGGTGGGGGCGGTACGTCCTGTATAAACACAAACTCACTTCCTTGACAACTTCCTTCACAATAGCTCTGCTCCCCTAAGCGCAAGAAGTATGAAAGCCCTGACGTCTGCGGAGGCTGCGTCGCAGTAAATGCTGTACGGCCAATGCAGACGTCGGATTGACCATGCAGAACCTTTAAGGTTAGAACAGTATGATTACTAACATAGTACTGACTGAAACCCACTACTCTAAGTGACGAAAGGGACTAGGGCTAGGATGAATGGGCTGACTGTAAGTTAGGGTCTGGACTGTTGCTGCCCCCATGGTGCATCGGTCAGAATGCAATGAGGAGATGGAGATGAGGAATCCAGGGTTAGGGGTATTTATTATACACAGTTGAACAACACAGAGGCACAAAACGTGCACGGGGGGGGGGGGGGGGGGGGGGGTTTAAGGATGTGGTGGCTTTCTCATATCACACACAAAGGAAGGAAGGAAAAGGGCCGCCCCGTGGCATCACCGAGCAAGAAGCATTACTAGTGAATAGGAAGGAGCACTGCTTCTGTGGGAAACAGAGGAGTGAAGGTAGAAGAGAGGTGATTAGGGAGTGGGAACAGGTGTGGAAGGAAGGGGCGTGGCCTAGGGTAATTGGAAGCAATTGGAGTCCTGTAGGGGTGCGATGACCCTTCACAACCCTAAGGTTAGAACAGTATGATTACTAACCTAGTACTGACTGAAAACATGTACTCTACTGTGCAACACTACACTGCAGTAAATTGTACCACCGCTCAAAGGTACGTTATCATTAAACACACATAAAGGTAAAACAAACTATCTTGGGAAATGGGAAAATATACCAGCATGGAGTTAATTCTGTCTACAGGCTGTCCTCCTGAGGCAGATGCACTTAAAATGTCCAATAAGAACAGTTATTTTATTGATGGCATTTGAACTCATATAGTCTCTCTGTCCTCTTTGCCTCCATGCAGGCTGGGGAGGAGAACCCAGTCATCTCTCTGTATGTGGTCAACCTGAATGGGCCCCTGCACACCATCGAGATGAGGAGGCCTGAGGACCAGAGGATAGGGTACATCACCCCTACACAATACTACTCAACTGCTGATAGTATAAAGGCCTAATACATTTAACAGACACTCTTATCTCCCGAGTGGCGCAGTGGTCTAAGGCACTGCATCTCAGTGCTAGAGGCATCACTACAGACCCTGGTTCGAGTCCAGGCTGTATCACAATCCGGCCTTACAGGAGCAGTTAGGATTAAGTGCCTTACTCAAGGGCACATCAACAGATGTATCACCTAGTCGGCTTGGGGATTCGAACCAGCGACCTTTCGATTTACTGGCCCAACACACTTAACCGCTAGGCTACCTGCCTCCCCACTACTACTACTACTACTACTACTACTACTACTATATATAGCATGGTTATATACCCTTATGGCTTTCAAAGGGATGAACTCTGTTACACATGCAGTGTGTCAGCTGGACATTCCTAGTCCTTTATCCTAGATTTTGTATTTGCATGAATAAATGTAGAGTCACAATAACACTCTTGTTTCGGTTTGTGTTGGACAGAGAGGACTATGTCACTATGGTGAAATGGGCGACTACCACCAAACTGGCAGTGAACTGGTTAAACAGAGCCCAGAACATCTCCATGCTCACGCTGTGTCAGGCCACTACTGGCATCTGCACCAAGGTGTGTGTCTGTGTGTGTGTCTGTGCGTCTGTTTTTCAGCCCTCTTCATTCGCTTTTCTTATGCTTATGAATTACTTTTCTTTCAAATTGTCTTTTTAGAAACATGAGGACGAGAGCGAAAGTTGGCTTCACAGACAAGTAAGAAACAAACATGATTCAAGTACAAATCTTGTCTTAGGGCTGTTAAAGGTAGACTCAGCGAAATGCCGTCGCCGTCATGCAGCACCGCAGATATTGCGATGAGCGAGATGCAAGACACTCTCACAGTCACACACAGTATCTTTGCATGGCCACGGGTTCGCTTCACGCTGTTCACTGGCCACGGGAACAAAACAGTGGAGAAGTTGAGCCTCACGCTTCAACGCTCTTAGTTGTTGCGGAAATTGACCCACTATGCTGTTTACTTTCTGCATCCACGTCATATCGCGGAGTCTACCTTTAATCTTATATATCTTTTTAGTAGTGCTACAGAGTGGAATGCCACTCCATCATTTCTAGATATGTTAGAAATATGTTTATATATGTGTGTATATATATATATGTGTTCTATGGCTGTTGTGCAGAATGAGAAGCCGCTGTTCTCCAAAGACGGTCTGAAGTTGTTCTTCACCAGAGCCATCCCACAGGGAGGCAGGGGCAAATTCTTCCACATCTCCATGTCCATCACACAGGTAATGTACACTCCCCTTCTACACACTCTCTTCTGTGTTCTGTATGAGGGCTTCCATACGCTAGAATTGCTGCCTACAGCATAGCATAGATAACACCCACTTCCGTAATATCTTCCAGTAGCTCAGAAGTTAGTTCAACAAAGTGTGCACTCCTAATGTGACAAGAAGACATTGAGTCCAGTGATTTTTAACATGCAGTATATGTATCTCCCTTCCCTCTCTCCCCCCTCTCCCTCTATCTCCCCTTCCCTCTCTCCCCCCTCTCCCTCTATCTCCCCTTCCCTCGCCCCTCTCCCCCTCCCCCTCCCTCTCCAGCCCAACACCAGCACAGACACGCTGCAGTCGATCACATCTGGAGACTGGGATGTCACCCAGGTCCTAGCCTACAACGAGGACAGCCAGCTAATGTGAGCTCCCAGACGCAGCTGGGCCACACACACACACAGACATATGCACTCACACGTAGTGTACACACATTTATGCTGTGATTATGACACAAACACCCACCCACAGAACCTAAAACAAACAATTCAACAAACCTCTCTCTCCTCCCAATCTCTCTCCCCCTCTCGCTCTCCCTCTCTCCCTCCTCTCTCTCTCCCCCTCCCCCTCTCCCTCTCTCTCCCCGTCTCTCTCTATTCCTCTCCCTCTCTCTCTCCCCCTCGCTCTCTCCTCTCCCCCTCTCTCTCTCCCCCCCTCTCTCTCTATTCCTCCTCCCTCTCTCCCTCTCTTCCTCTCTCCCTCTCTCCCTCTCTCCCTCTCCTCTCTCTCTCTCTCGCTCTCTCTCCTCTCTCCCTCTCTCTTCCTCTCTCTCCTCTCCTCACTCGCTCTCCTCTCTCTCCGCTCTCTCTCCTCCCTCTCTCCCCCCTTCTCTCTCTCCCCCTCCCCCCTCTCTCCCCCTCTCTCTCTCCCCTCACCCCTCCCCTCCTCTCTCTCTCTCTCAATTAAATTCAATTTCATTTCAATTTAAGGGCTTTATTGGCATAGGAACATTGCCAAAGCAAGTGAAATAGATAATAAACAAAAGTGAATAAACAATAGAATATTAACAGTAAACATTACACTCACACAAGTTCCAAAAGAATAAAGACATTTCAAATATTATGTCTATATACAGTGTTATAATGATGTGCAAATAGTTAAAGTACAAAAAGGAAAATAAATAAACATAAATATAGGTTGTATTTACAATGGTGTTTGTTCTTCACTGGTTGCCCTTTTCTTGTGGCAACAGGTCATAAATCTTGCTGCTGTGATGGCACACTGTGGTATTTCACCCAATAGATATAGGAGTTTATCCAAATTGGATTTGTTTTCGAATTCTTTGTGGGTCTGTGTAATCTGAGGGAAATATGTAACCAAAGCTAGCTCAGCTACAGCTCACCTACAAAATATACTTTGAAGAGTGATCTTGTTTCTGTCAGATTTGTTCCTGGCCTACTTTAGTAAAAATAAAAAATATAAAATCCTCTCTGCATCTCTCTGACATCATATTTAATTGATGTTACATCCCTTCCAGTGGCAAGATTACACTACTGTTGGAACTGTCGGTTTATACCTCCCCGAGGCGACATTTTCTGTTCAGCTGTACTGCTGGAATCTTTACACTAGCCTACTTTCAATCTCACTTTGTAGACTCCTTACATTTGTGACTACTGCAATGTTTCAATTATGTAATGTTGCGTGCACCCATGCATTTGTTTTTTAATGTATTAGTTGAACATACGTCCAACTTTAAATGTTTATTATGTATCTTGCAGATACTTCTTGAGCACTGAGGATGATCCAAAGCGAAGGCACCTCTACAGGTAACACATACATAGCTCTGAATAACTGTCCATAATGCTGTTCTCTTCTGTTGTGCCTAGCTCTGTTGCCCCCCCACCCAAAAGAGATTGGTTTCTTTTCGTTTCACTTGGTTACAATTTAGGTGCCTGTTGGCCTGCATTCTTTGAGGGACTTTGCTCACCGTCTGAATAATAATCTAGGAGAAAGACTTCAAGATTCAAGTTTTATTAGTCATATGTACAGGATACACATGGTCCAACAAAATGCTTACTTACAGGTTCCTTCTCGACAACGCAACAACAATAAGAAATAATAAAATATAAGAATACGAACATAAAGTAAATGGCTCAGTAGAATAGAATACACATTTTAGCATAAGTATAATACAGGAAGGCACAATTTATAGATCAATATTTAAATGTTTTTGGGGGCATTGGGGGGCAAGTAGACCAGCGGTTAAGTGCATTGGGCTAGTAACTGAAAGGGGCCGGTTCAAATCTCCAAGCTGACTAGGTAAATAATCTGTCCATGTGCCCTTGAGCAAGGCACTTAACCCTAGTTGCTCCTGTAAGTCACTCTGGATAAGAGCATCTGCTAAATGACCCCCCCCCCCCCCCCCCCCCCCAAAAAAAAAAAGGGGTTTGGCTGAGTGTCCTCTTGTTGTGTTTGTAGTGCGGACACGGTGGGCCCCTTCAACAGACGCTGTCTCTCCTGTGACTTCTACGAAAGCTGTGGCTACGTCAAAGGCTCCTTCAGCCACAACATGAGCCTCTTCCTCCTCAGCTGCAAAGGTGGGAGACACCGGTTGGTCAGTTTGTCGATGGGTTGGTTTGTCTGTCTCTCCCGAAGGGAATCTATTTTTTTTTTCAATCATATGAACCTTTGGCCTCTCACTTCTGAGAGACGCACTAGTAAAGACACAATGAATTCAATGCATTTGTTGGTTACAGATTATATTTGGTCACAAACACAATCATTTGTGCAGTGTATTTAAACCTCTACAATGCCTCTACCAGAACTCCTGCATTATTTCAACATGGGGCTATGGGTCCAATAGCAGCATCCCAAAGATTGTCATCCTCTCACTGAACTCCCTGGAACCACACAGGACAGCCGTGTTTACTGAGCCTGTCTCTACCTCGTTCACTTTTAATCCCTCACTCCCCTCCTGCCCGCTTTCATTTATTTGACGGGATTGTGATATGATTACAGCGCTGTGAGAGATTGCCTGGCCTACTTTGCAGACTCGGAGCCGCAAATGTTTGTTTCTAGAATGTTCCCAATTTGCTAAGTGCATCTATCATTTTATTATGTGTCCCTTCCTAGTGCAGCGCTGTGGTTTAGGAGACAGAGAGTGTTTCTACAGGGGCTTGTTTGTTTGGAAGCCAGCTCCTGAACACTGCAGAAGTTATTTGGGTTGTGTTCAATTAATTGAATAAGCTAACAATAGCCTCCCCAACAATAGCAAGGAGGTCTGGACAGCATATTTTGTGCTTGTAGAAAAACATGTTAAATAAAACATTATTTGTAGAGGCTTGAATCTGTTCTCTGCAAGCAGATAATGTCAGGCTTTCAGACTTTAATCAATTATGTTTTGATGTTGTGTTTGAACTTCTTCAATGGCTTAAACCATGGGTTTGTGGTTTTGAAAGAAAAATGCAACTTTGAGGCTGGACTATATTGTGTCTCAGTCTTCTATTGTCAAGGTGCCATTTAAATGACAGATTCTAAAGGACAGTTTATTGAGTTCAAATGATTAGATGATACATTTTTTGCAAGTCTTTTTGCAAGTCTAGATGGAAATTGATAATTAAATAACCCTTTTCTGTTCTCTCGCTTCCCCTAGAACTGTGGACTGTGGGGATACATGTTGAACCATGCAGTCACTTGTACATAATAAGGAGCCACATAATGTACTCATAAACCTAGACAGAGACAGAGTAGTGTCAAAACAAACTAATGGACACGTATCTTGGTTTGAATGCAAGAGGAATGCCTGATGTCCATGTCTTTTTTGGTCATCTTTGTTTCTGTTTTGGTCTTTCTCCAGGCCCTGATGTCCCGTTTGTAGCAGTGTACAGCACACAGGACAGACAGAGTGAGTATTCTAGTTAGGATTCTGTTTGGATTCTTTCAAATGAAAAATTGATCATCAGATGAAATCGGTCACACCCTGTTTATCTCTCCAACACACCACACATCCTCTATCGAAACACACACACTAGCTCCATTATACTGAGATCTGATTTCTGACTTGCCATGTAACTGTCAGGAAGCATATGATACGTGCTAAGCCCTGATTTAGCTGTCCCAGACACGTTTTTTGAGATCGGAGACAAAATCCCCATGTTGTTGCCTACACTGGCCGCGCGGCTGTCACCGACGCTCGTTTAATGTGAGCGGGTCAGAGACGCAATCTGAGGGCTACCGATCCCGTCTTTAAGCTGTCCGAGATGTCACGATATATTTAAACATGTTTGATTTTATCGGCACAGAATCTGCAATGCTCTTGTATTGTGAGATGTGCAACGACACGTTTTGAGAACGGTGATCAGCAATAGCCAATGAGAGCTCGCCAGTGAGATGATCACATCACCCAGAATGTGTAGACTCTGGAGCAGGAGCGATGACTACTACTAGTATGCATTTGTACTTGCCTTTAACCAAAGCCCCAAAGTGTCAAATTGTTAAAGCTCTAAAGTTCACCAGCAATGTTATTCAATTCAAAATGGTGGCTAGATATTTCAACTCTGTATGGCAAGCGTGAATGTCTGACTGAAAACTTATGAGGCAGCTTTGAGCCACAGCTCGTTCTAGCGATGTTAACAATCTAATCACATCATTGTTTTGGCGAGAGAATGTGGCGATATGGAGAATCCTCACGACCAAGTGAATAATCTTGTAGTGTGTGACCCCTGTATGTGCCACATCGTTTAGTGTGTGACCCCTGTATGTGCCACATCGTTTAGTGTGACCCCTGTATGTGCCACATCGTTTAGTGTGTGACCCCTGTATGTGCCACATCGTTTAGTGTGACCCCTGTATGTGCCACATCGTTTAGTGTGTGACCCCTGTATGTGCCACATCGTTTAGTGTGCGCACCACTACGTTGGAAAGACAAAAAACGACATGAAAGAGGATTTTGAAAGTTGTGTGGTGTACAGCCGGCATTAGAGGGACACCATGGGGGAGATGAAAGACACAAACACACCTGTAGGACATCCACTCCTCTCCATGAATAAACATCACCCCGAAATACAGTTCTTTAACACCGTAGAAATTAAACAACTGTATCTATCTCTGTGTTTACAGACCACAGAATTAAAGCCCTCCCCTCCATCCCTGATTCACAAAATGACCACCCACAGCTGTGTGACCTCATCAAACTGGGACAGCATACTAAGACTTTGGCAGCACAACAAGGCCACCTCTGCTTTCTGCTGAGTCACTGTTTACAGCCTCAGCCCAGTCTGTTGGCAGCCATACTGATTACATTACCTAGCTGGATGGATGTCCTCATAACAACACGACCTTCACACTGTAATGAAAGACTATAAATCAAATTTTATTTGTCACGTGCTGAAATGCTTACTTACAAGCACTTAACCAACAATGCAGTTCAAGAAATAGAGTTAAGAAAATATTTACGAAATAAACTAAAGTAAAAAATAAAATAAAAAGTAACACAATAAAATAACAATAACGAGGCTATATACTGTGTTTGTTTACTGTTGATTACAGCATGTACACTTGGAGGAATAGCCATAACAATGTGTACAAAGAGTACTGAATAGCCTATTCTGCAGTCATATTTTACAGCATATAGTAAAGTTTAGGGGCAAAGGGAAAAACTAAACTTTTGGCAGGAACTCTGCTTTCTAACTGGAATCCTTAAAGTTGTTCTGAAATTGGAATTTAAGTGCTGTGGGGGGGAATAACAACCTGGCTGCATTTCCTGTGTTGTGTACTCTGAGGAGACCACACACATAGACAAGGTCAAAGAGAAATACCTCTTACAACCAGTCAGACAGACAGTCAGGAGAGAACTCTCTCCCTGACCAAAACACCCACTCGTTTTGTTACTAGTCCAATCTCAATCTAAGCATGCCAAGATAAGCCTCTTTAAGGCTCGTCTCGTGGTAGCCAGCCATTCTGAAGTCTTCATTGATATTTACAGCCTACATTGCTGTTCTGTCTTTATCACGGTGTGTCAGTGCAGGGAGGGATGGATGTCTCTGCATTCTGGTCCTTTCCCTCTGTTCTCTTCTGCTATGTCTCTTGCTGTAAGCATGGTTTCATCACAACTTCCAGCCCAACGTTCTGCCACAACACCCTTTGAACACACTACACTACGTGCCCTTAGACCATGGTAGCCATAGCAACCTTAGCCATAGACTAAGGCCATGATGTTTGTCACTGCAGAGGTGTTTGACCTGGAGACCAATGAGAATCTGAGGATGAGTCTGGACTCCATGCAGATGCCCCAAGTGGAATACAAGGAGATCACCATGGAGGATTACAGTATGTTATGTTCCGCTCTAACACTAAGGGAGATTTCAACAGCAGATCTGTCTTTTAAAGTCTATTTTCTTCAGATGAACAGAAAATGAAGCTGATGAACAAATGAGAATTGTGTAGTGGCAGTATAATCATATTGTTACACATACTGATCACTTTCTCATGTTGTGTAGCACTAACGATGCAGATCCTCAAACCTGCCAGCTTTGTGGACTCATCACACTATCCTCTGCTTCTCCTCGTGTGAGTATGCACACACACACACACACACACACACACACACACACAACTGCTCTAGTATAAAACATATAGCTATCCATCTCCACAGTTTCTCATCAGCTGTTGACACACAGAGGTCTTCACCTCCTCCGTGCCATGTGAGGACAAGTTGCCTCATCTGGAGAGATAATCACCCACCGACTCAGTGCTTTAATCAGGGCTATTCATCTAAGGCGGCGACGTGGCAACTCTCTCTCCTTCACACTACCAGTAATTACACTGCAAACAAGAAGGTCTCCATCCCCCCTTTAATTAACCCTCCTCTCCTGTCCTCCACTATGACACCATCTGACTCCATGCCCTTGCCTAAAGGTTGGAGAAACATACACTAGACTAGATTCTTCAGTCACTGTTTCTAGTCTTTTCACCCTGGCTCACGTCTGGATGAAGTGGCACTAAACTATAAACTAAATAGTTAAACTATTAACTATAACTATAAAGACAATGCGTCCTTTTCTCTATCTTTGCTATATATAGAGAGAGAGAGTGCAAAGCTGTCATCAAGGCAAATGGTGGCTGTTTGAAGAATCTCAAATATAAAATATATTTTGATTTGTTTAACACTTTTTTGGTTACTACATGATTCCATGTGTGTTATTTCATAGTTTTGATGTCTTCACTATTATTCTACAATGTAGAAAATAGTAACAATAAAGAAAAACCCTTGAATGAGTAGGTGTCCTAAAACTTTTGACCGGTAGTGTATATATGTGTATATATATAAAATCACCTCCAGTTTAAACGGGACCATGAGAGGTGTGTGTGTACATGTGTAATTATTGATTTTAAAGAGAGAGAGAGAGTGAGAGAAAGGTGAGTTATAATAAGGACTAAACATGCCTCCTTCCCTCGTCACCAGCGACGGCACCCCCGGTGGTCAGATGGTATCAGAGCTGTTCCACATGGACTGGGCCACGGTGCTGGTGAGCAGCTTCGGGGCCATGGTGGTACGCTTCGATGGGCGGGGTAGCGGCTTCCAGGGGACCAACCTGTTGCACCGCGTCCAGAGGAAGCTGGGGGTGTTTGAGGAGAGGGACCAGCTGGAGGCCCTCAGGTAAGTACCTTCAACTGCGGCCCGATTCTCCACCCTTCTCCTAAGTGGTGCACTTGCAGTCATGGATTTAAAAGCATTGGATTGGTGTAATAATTGTCTGGAGGGAGTTTCCACCATTGTTAAATCCATGATGGTAAGTGTACAGCCTTGGACTTCTCTGTCACAAGACAGACTGCCCTAACACTGCCATATGAACTGAAGAGCAGCCAATAGGCAGAGGTCTGGATACAGTGGCTTGCGAAAATATTCACCCCCCTTGGCATTTTTCTGATTTTGTTGCCTTACAACCTGGAATTTAAATGGATTTTGGGGGGGGTTGTATCATTTGATTTACACAACATGCCTACCACTTTGAAGATGCAAAATATTTTTTTTTTGTGAAACAAACAAGAAATAAGACAAAAAAACAGAACTTGAGCATGCATAACTATTCACCCCAACCCCAAAGTCAATACTTTGTAGAGCCACCTTTTGCAGCAATTACAGCTGCAAGTCTCTTGGGGTATGTCTCTATAAGTTTGGCACATCTAGCCACTGGGATTTTTGCCCATTCTTCAAGGCAAAACTGCTCCAGCCCCTTCAACTTGGATGGGTTCTGCTGGTGTACAGCAATCTTTAAGTCATACCACAGATTCTCAATTGGATTGAGATCAGGGCTTTGACTAGGACATTCCAAGACATTTAAATGTTTCCCCTTAAACCACTCAAGTGTTGCTTTAGTAGTATACTTAGGGTCATTGTCCTGCTGGAAGGTGAACCTCCGTCCCAGTCTCAAATCTCTGGAAGACTGAAACGGGTTTCCCTCAAGAATTTCCCTGTATTTAGTGCCATCCATCATTCCTTAAATTCTGACCAGTTTTTCAGTCCCTGCCGATGAAAAACATCCCCACAGCATGATGCTGCCACCACCATGCTTCACTGTGGGGATGGTGTTCTCAGGGTGATGAGAGGTGTTGGGTTTGCGCCAGACATAGCGTTTTCCTTGATGGCCAAAAAGCTCAAGTTTAGTCTCATCTGACCAGAGTACCTTCTTCCATATGTTTGGGGAGTCTTCCACATGCCTTTTGGCGAACACCAAACATGTTTGCTTATTTATTTATTTAAGCCATGGCTTTTTTTCTGGCCACTCTTCCGTAAAGCCCAGCTCTGTGGAGTGTACGGCTTAAAGTGGTCCTATGGACAGATACTCCAATCTCCGCTGTGGAGCTTTGCAGCTCCTTCAGGGTTATCTTTGGTCTTTTTGTTGCCTCTCTGATTAATGCCCTCCTTGCCTGGTCCGTGAGTTTGGGTGGGCGGCCATCTCTTGGCAGGTTTGTTGTGGTGCCATATTCTTTCCATTTTTTAATAATGGATTTAATGGTGCTCCGTGGGATGTTCAAAGTTTCTGATATTTTTTTATAACCCAACCCTGATCTGTACTTCTCCACAACTTTGTCCCTGACCTGTTTGGAGAGCTCCTTGGTCTTCATTGTCCCGCTTGCTTGGTGGTGCCCCTTGCTTAGTGGTGTTGCAGACTCTGGGGCCTTTCAGAACAGGTGTATATACAGTGGGGGAAAAAAGTATTTAGTCAGCCACCAATTGTGCAAGTTCTCCCACTAAAAAATATGAGAGAGGCCTGTAATTTTCATCATAGGTACACGTCAACTATGACAGACAAATTGAGGAAAAAAAATCCAGAAAATCACATTGTATGATTTTTAATGAATTTATTTGCAAATTATGGTGGAAAATAAGTATTTGGTCATCTACAAACAAGCAAGATTTCTGGCTCTCACAGACCTGTAACTTCTTCTTTAAGAGGCTCCTCTGTCCTCCACTCGTTACCTGAATTAATGGCACCTGTTTGAACTTGTTATCAGTATAAAAGACACCTGTCCACAACCTCAAACAGTCACACTCCAAACTCCACTATGGCCAAGACCAAAGAGCTGTCAAAGGACACCAGAAACAAAATTGTAGACCTGCACCAGGCTGGGAAGACTGAATCTGCAATAGGTAAGCAGCTTGGTTTGAAGAAATCAACTGTGGGAGCAATTATTAGGAAATGGAAGACATACAAGACCACTGATAATCTCCCTCGATCTGGGGCTCCACGCAAGATCTCACCCCGTGGGGTCAAAATGATCACAAGAACGGTGAGCAAAAATCCCAGAACCACACGGGGGGACCTAGTGAATGACCTGCAGAGAGCTGGGACCAAAGTAACAAAGCCTACCATCAGTAACACACTACGCCGCCAGGGACTCAAATCCTGCAGTGCCAGACGTGTCCCCCTGCTTAAGCCAGTACATGTCCAGGCCCGTCTGAAGTTTGCTAAAGTGCATTTGGATGATCCAGAAGAGGATTGGGAGAATGTCATATGGTCAGATGAAACCAAAATAGTAAAAACTCAACTCGTCGTGTTTGGAGGACAAAGAATGCTGAGTTGCATCCAAAGAACACCATACCTACTGTGAAGCATGGGGGTGGAAACATCGTGCTTTCTGCAAAGGGACCAGGACGACTGATCCGTGTAAAGGAAAGAATGAATGGGGCCAGGTATCGTGAGATTTTGAGTGAAAACGTCCTTCCATCAGCAAGGGCATTGAAGATGAAAACGTGGCTGGGTCTTTCAGCATGACAATGATCCCAAACACACCCGCCCGGGCAACGAAGGAGTGGCTTCGTAAGAAGCATTTCAAGGTCCTGGAGTGGCCTAGACAGTCTCCAGATCTCAACCCCATGAAAATCTTGTGAGGGAGTTGAAAGTCCGTGTTGCCCAAGACAGACTGCCCTAACACTGCCATATGAACTGAAGAGCAGCCAATAGGCAGAGGTCTGGATACAGTGGCTTGCGAAAATATTCACCCCCCTTGTCATTTTTCTGATTTTGTTGCCTTACAACCTGGAATTTAAATGGATTTTGGGGGGGGTTGTATCATTTGATTTACACAACATGCCTACCACTTTGAAGATGCAAAATATTTTTTTTTTGTGAAACAAACAAGAAATAAGACAAAAAAACAGAACTTTGAGCATGCATAACTATTCACCCCAACCCCAAAGTCAATACTTTGTAGAGCCACCTTTTGCAGCAATTACAGCTGCAAGTCTCTTGGGGTATGTCTCTATAAGTTTGGCACATCTAGCCACTGGGATTTTTGCCCATTCTTCAAGGCAAAACTGCTCCAGCCCCTTCAACTTGGATGGGTTCTGCTGGTGTACAGCAATCTTTAAGTCATACCACAGATTCTCAATTGGATTGAGATCAGGGCTTTGACTAGGCCATTCCAAGACATTTAAATGTTTCCCCTTAAACCACTCAAGTGTTGCTTTAGTAGTATACTTAGGGTCATTGTCCTGCTGGAAGGTGAACCTCCGTCCCAGTCTCAAATCTCTGGAAGACTGAAACGGGTTTCCCTCAAGAATTTCCCTGTATTTAGTGCCATCCATCATTCCTTAAATTCTGACCAGTTTCCCAGTCCCTGCCGATTAAAAACATCCCCACAGCATGATGCTGCCACCACCATGCTTCACTGTGGGGATGGTGTTCTCAGGGTGATGAGAGGTGTTGGGTTTGCGCCAGACATAGCGTTTTCCTTGATGGCCAAAAAGCTCAAGTTTAGTCTCATCTGACCAGAGTACCTTCTTCCATATGTTTGGGGAGTCTTCCACATGCCTTTTGGCGAACACCAAACATGTTTGCTTATTTATTTCTTTAAGCCATGGCTTTTTTCTGGCCACTCTTCCGTAAAGCCCAGCTCTGTGGAGTGTACGGCTTAGTGCCTTACAAACTCCACCCGCTGTGAGCTTGCAGCTCCAGGTATCTTTGTCTTTTGTTGCCTCTATAATCCCCCTTGCCTGGTCCTTTTCCTCTTGGAGTTTGTTGTTGCATTTCTTCCATTTTTTATAATGGATTGTAATGGTGCTCCGTGGATGTTCAAATTTCGATTTTTTTTATAACCAACCTGATCTGTACTTCTCACAACTTTTGTCCCTGACCTTGGAAGCTCCTTGGTCTCATTGGCTTGCCCCTTGCTTAGTGGTGTTGCAGACTCTGGGCCTTTCAGAACAGGTGTATATATACTGAGATCATGTGACAGATCATATGACACTTAGATTGCACATAGGTGGACTTTATTTAACTAATTATGTGACTTCTGACGGTAATTGGTTGCACCAGATCTTATTTAGGGGCTTCATAGCAAAGGGGGTGAATACATATGCACGCACCACTTTTCTGTTATTTATTTTTTAGAATTTTTGGGAAAAAATTATTTTTTTCATTTCACTTCACCAATTTGGACTATTTTGTATAAATCCAAATAAAAATCCATTTAAATTACAGGTTGTAATGCAACAAAATAGGAAAAAAATGCCAAGGGGGGTGAATACTTTTGCAAGGCACTGTATGTGTAGTGATTTGACATGTAGAAAGGAAGTATAAGTTATTCACACACTCTTAGGTAACTAACGTTTAGGCAGCTGTAGCTATAGAGTGTGGGGCAAAATTATTTTATTTTCTAAGTGTTATGTTCCACCGGCCTGTACCTCGCCAAATCCGTTTTTTCTCCTTTCTGTATTACAGCCGGGTGCTAATGAGCTATGACATGGACAGCTAGCTAAATAACTGAGCTGAAACACTTGGAAGGGGTACTCAGTAATCCAAATCAAATTTCTTCCATTTTAGTATAATATCTAAAGAGCCCTACGTTGACAAGACCAGGATTGGCGCTTTCGGCAAAGTAAGAGACGTTTTCTCCTGATAATTATGATGTTAATTAGTTGCATGTAGTTACATCTGAATTGGATAATGTTCACTTGAACCCCTTGTATTGTTCAGTATCTATCTGCCAACTCTGATGTGCTAACCACCCTTGTTTTAAGTATAGAAATCACTAGGGAGGCGCTTTAATCTTTGCTTATTCATATCAACATATTGAGTGGTATATTAAGATTGCTAGCTACACTCTTCAACTGAAGTGCAAGCTGTCAATGCCAGCTACAGTGTTTATGCCTACCCTGTGTGTTTTTTCTTATGTACTGTATTGCTGGAATTGTGTGTTGAAAGTACATTTGAAAAAGACAGATCAGATGTGTACTGCTAGCTCAACATTTACCTTTGGACCAAATATATATAGTTTTAATAGATTCTGACACCTCTGAGAGGATATTCATAAAGAGAAGATGAATTATGTTGCCTCTGGCCAAGTCCATACCTCCTCCTGGCTGCTGACGTACTAGAGAGTCCAGAAGGCCAAAAGTTATTCTGAACTAATCATCCACAATGGGAAACATAAACTATGGAGGAATCTGCAACTTGCAGTTATGCACATGGGATATTTCATATTATTCATTATCAGGGGCATTGTCAACTAGCCTGGTCCCAGACCATAGAAGTTGGCAAGACGGCACAAACAGATCTGTGACCAGGCTAATGATCTACTACTCTTGGGTCTCCAAACTCAATCTTTAAACTGAGCTTGAAATGAACCCAACGGGTTTCTCTTTCTTTCTTTCTTTTTCTTTCTTTCTTTCTTTCTTTCTTTCTTTCTTTCTGTCTGTCTGTCTGTCTGTCTGTCTGTCTGTCTGTCTGTCTGTCTGTCTGTCTGTCTGTCTGTCTGTCTGTCTGTCTGTCTCTGTCTCTGTCTCTGTCTCTGTCTCTGTCTCTGTCTCTGTCTCTGTCTCTGTCTCTGTCTCTGTCTCTGTCTCTGTCTCTGTCTCTGTCTCTGTCTCTGTCTCTCAGGTGTATGGAGGCTACGTGACCAGTCTGTTACTAAGCGCAGAGGATTCCCCGGTGAAATGTGGTGCAGCCCTCTCACCCATCACAGACTTTGACCTATACGGTAAGGTGTGTGTGTGCGTGCTCGCATGTGTGTGTAAAGGCTTCTTATCAACATGATGGTGAAGACACCCCTCTCAGGCCAACACTATGGTGCCAGAGAGAGGTACCTATGAGAGAGAGAGCATGTGCTTTCCAAAGTTACAAGAGCAGTGATACTTGGGATGGAAGTGTGAATGACAGCAGAAGCAGGTGAGGGGGTTTATGACTGTTCATCTCAGACTATGGTTTCTCTCTGAAAAGATGGATGTGTTTGAGTGCTCACCTGACAAGAATGAATACTCATCGTTAAGAAGTTTTAAAGTAAACCACAGCTGCACATGACATCGTCTGTAGTCTTTTCTGCTTCTTATGGTGTATTGAGGTATAACGAGGTGTATATGTAAGAGGTATACCATGCTAAATGAGAGTTATTAGTGCTAGCATTTACCCACCTTATTTGTATCCACTATGTCCCTTGGTAGGAGCTAATTAATTGATTCCTTTTGACAACCTCTCTTCCAGCATCAGCTTTTTCAGAGAGATACCTTGGAATGCCCAAGCCTGACCCAAGAGCATATGCGGTATGCCTTCTTTATTCTTTATTCAGCCTTCACTTGGACTTCATGTATGAGCTGTGTTTTTCTATTGGCTCGTAATTGAATATGAATGTAATATAATATCAATGTAATACTGTATATCATATAATATAATAATATCTATGTAATTTCTCTACAGATGGCAAATCTAGCACACAGGGCATCACAGTTCCTAGACAAGAAGTTTCTGATTGTTCATCCAACAGCAGATGGTATGAGATCCTTGAAACCTTTCTAGCCTAATAAAATGCTTTGTGTTTTTAACAATAAGACGGTATGTGTTGGTTTCCTTTTCTCTCACCAGAAAAAGTCCATTTCCAGCACACAGCTAAATTCATCTCCCAGCTGATCAATGAAAAGGCAAACTACACTCTACAGGTGAGAGGTACTTCACAGAATGACACGTAGAAATGGGATGTACAGAATGGCTACCATCAATAAGGTGCACCAATTTAACTGGAACACACAAGATAATGTGTCATGGGAAGCACATACACTAACTCTGCCTTGGTCAGCATCCCGGAGTCGCCTCTTCACTGTTGACGTTGAGACTGGTGTTTTGCGGGTACTGTTTAATGAAGCTGCCAGTTGAGGACCTGTGAGGCGTCTGTTTCTCAAACTAGACACTCTAATATATTTGTCCTCTTGCTCAGTTGTGCACCGGGGCCTCCCACTCTTCTTTCTATTCTGGTTAGAGCCAGTTTGCGCTGTTCTGTGAAGGGAGTAGTACACAGCGTTGTACGAGATCTTCAGCCTTCATTTCTCAGAACAAGAATAGACTGACGAGTTTCAGAAGAAAGTTATTTGTTTCTGGCCATTTTGATCCTGTAATTGAACCCACAATTGCTGATGCTCCAGATACTCAACTAGACTCAAGAAGGCCAGTTTTATTGCTTCTTTAATCAGCACAACAGTTTTCAGCTGTGCTAACATAATTGCAAAAGGGTTTTCTAATGATCAATTAGCCATTGGAACACAGGACTGATGGTTGCTGATAATGGGCCTCTGTATGCCAATGTAGATATTCCATTACAAATCAGCCGTTTCCAGCTACAATAGGCATTTACAACATTAACAATGTCTACACTGTATTTCTGATCAATTTGATGTTATTTTAATGGACATTGCTCATTTGCTAATCCAAAATGCATCCCGGTGATTTGTATGGGGGTATATTTTGGGCTGGAGTTCTGTAATACCACACCAGTTGAGGGATTAGACCTCACAAAGCACCCCCCCCATCTCACTTAATGAGATTATACTCCCCTCTTACTAGGCATGCTTTAACAGGGTAAACTAATCCCATTAAGATATGGAGCATTTAGAAGTCAGCGTTTAGGTCATCGCTGCCTCATAGGTCCCCTTATATGCTCTGCTGTGTGTTGACTGAGTAAGCCTCATCAGTAAGTCAGCCACTGGTAGTTGTCTGATACACTACATGACCAAAAGTATCTGGACACCTGCGAACATCTCATTCCAAAATCATGGGCATTAATATGGAGTTGGTCCCCCTTTTGCTGCTATAACAGCCTCCACTCTTCTGGGAAGGCTTTCCACTAGATGTTGGAACATTGCTGCGGGGACTTGCTTCCATTCAGCCTCAAGAGCATTAGTGAGGTCAGGCACTGATGTTGGGCGATTAGGCCTGGCTCGCAGTCGGCATTCCAATTCATCCCAAAGGTGTTTAGTAGGGTTGAGGTCAGGGATCTGTGCAGGCCAGTCAAGTTCTTCCACACAGATCTCGACAAACCATTTGTTTATGGACCTCGCTTTGTGTACGGGGGCATTGTCATGCTGAAACAGGAAAGGGCCTTCCCCAAACTGTTGCCACAAAGTTGGAAGCACAAAATCGTCTAGAATGTAATTGTATGCTGTAGCGTTAAGATTGCACTTCACTGGAACTAAGGGGCCTAGCCCGAACCATGACAAACAGCCCCAGACCATTATTCCTCCTCCACCAAACTTTACAGTTGGCACTATGAATTGGGGCAGGTAGCATTCTCCTGGCATCCGCTAAACACAGATTAGTCAGTCGGACTGCCAGATGGTGAAGCGTGATTCATCACTCCAGAGAATGCGTTTCCACTACTCCAGATTCCAATGGCGGCGAGCTTTACACCACTCCAGCCGACGCTTGGCATTGCACATGGTGATCTTAGGCTTGTGTGCGGCTGCTTGGCCATGGAAACCCATTTCATGAAGCTCTCGACAAACAGTTTTTGTGCTGACGTTGCTTCCAGAGGCAGTTTGGAACTCGGTAGTGAGTGTTGCAACCGAGGACAGACTATTTTTACGCGCTGCGCTTGGCAGTCCCGTTCTGTGAGCTTGTGTGGCCTACCACTTCGCGGCTGAGTCGTTGTTGATCCTAGATGTTTCCACTTCACAATAACAGCACTTACAGTTAACCGGGGCAGCTCTAGCAGGGCAGACATTTTACGAACTGACTTGTTGGAAAGGTGGCATCCTATGATGGTGCCACGTTGAAAGTCACTGAGCTCTTCAGTAAGGCCATTCTACTGCCAATGATTGTCTATGGAGATTGCATGGCAGTGTGCTCGATTTTATACACCTGTCAGCAACGGGTGTGACTGAAATAGCCGAATCCATTAATTTGAAGGGGTGTTCACATACTTTTGTATATATATAGTGTACTTTGAAGGGGCTTGATTGATGATGATGATGATGATAATGATGATGACATGTTTATTATAGCGTCTATATGAAGCTGCATGTATATCCAGAGCAATATGAATGGATGTGTGGTGACCAGTGTGTTATATTCCCCCTCAGATCTACCCAGACGAGGGCCATTTCATCCACAGCGAGGCCACACGGCAGCACCTCAGCCAGTCGCTGGTCAACTTCTTCGAGGAGTGTTTCCGGCTACCAGACAAGGTGTTCGAGGAGAGACTGGAGGAGGAGATCGAGGAAGAGGGTTAGCCCAGAAAAAACCAACCCCCCAAACCAGAGCTCCAGTCCACGCCTAAGCACAATGCCAGCCCCCATACCTGGTTTCCACAATCCACATGATATGCAACCATCTCTTGGTTTCAACCCTCTTTAGCTCAGTTTTCACCTTCTGGGATTCCCCTGCATTTCAGCATGATCAACCATGAGACTGCCGCGTTGCAGATCAACCCTGAGACTGCCACGTTGCAGATGCTCACTTAACTCCTCATCCTCTGTTTTTCTCCTCCTCCTCACCTTTTGATTCAGCACGACTCCACAAGCGACCGTCGGCAGCCATTTTTTTTACATCGACACAATGAATACAACATTACGATGAAGGACCACTAGCTGACGTCATATCTGGAACGTGTTGAAAAGGCGGTCGTGCCAATTATTCTCCGGTCAGTCTATGTTTAAAAGACAAGCTCCTTGGATTCCAAACGACTGGTGAGAGGAAAGGAACATCAAAATCCACCCACAAACTTTACCAGTCAGTGAGGAGAGGGAAGACTCTATAGCACAAACTTTACCAGTCAGTGAGGACGGGAGACTTAATAGCACAAACTTGTGGTCGAAGATACAGACTCCACGTAGTATCTGATGGGTCAAACTGGCTCCAGCCCAGTGACTGGGGGGTGGGTGTCTGTGGAGAAGGGAATGCTCCTATTTTGAAAATCGTGAAGAGACCCTTTCATGTCGGACTGTGCTTGTGTCTGTTGTTGCTCTGTCAAGTAGCACATTAAAAACATTCCCTTTTTGGACATCGATACTTTGTATTTGCAGTGTTCAAGTTTATCTTGGAATCTTCTTGTAGCCTCAAGTATGTATTTAAATGGTGTAGTCTCCATTTTTCCATGTCATGAAAAGATGGGCAGTGAGAAGGATGTGAACCGAATCACTGTTTTGTTTTGTTCTTGATTCACTTTGTCTTGGTTTTGTTGCAAATTGTTCTCCTCCAGTCGTTTTGAAAATCGAAGCATATTATATTTTAGTCACTGTGCCTTACTTTGGGAGCAAGCGGTCCTTTTTATGGACTCCTTTTGTGAAAACAAAATACAACATGGCTCATTGTAAAGAAATGTTCTATTGACCATGGCACCAACTACTGATGGTTAAACCTTCACTTTGTAATGTTGTCATAGAGTAAGTATGGCATTATATCAAGAGTCAAGTAAGAAATGGTCTTCTCTAGTTCCAAATATAACCAATTTCCAAAATGGTTGTAAACAGTAGTTGCATGTATCCTTACATTATTTTACAGATGTTCAAATGGTAATGAAATTGTTTGTCTGGCTAACGACCACATAAAATGGTTATGTTTTAGTAAATGTTGTGGCATTCCAACCCCTCTCAGTATTAAAATTCAAACCCATTGGTGGGTTTGAGGTGCCACTGTAGAATTGGTGGTATTTTATGGCCAAAAGTAGTAGTAGTAGTACCTTTGTATAAGGTAATTAATAGCTTAGAATTATTATCACAATCTTTACAGTATGAAATACAAAGGAATTCAAATCATTTGAATTCTTGAGTCACAAGTCTGCATTTTTCATTTGTCATTTTATCTGAATGCTCATTCCTGTTACTTTGTCAATGCATGTTATCAAGTAATTTGCAACTCAATGCGATCTTTGATAGCTCTGTTTCAAAAAAGTATTTTTGACAGCTTGAATGTTCCATACTGGCATTACATTTACAGTAGTATCGTGATTGAGATCAGTCTCGTCAGCTTGATGTGTAAATGTTACTCAAATGTCATTTTAGTCTCTTAATATCTGAGTGTTATTTGTGCATAAATGCATTTTGAAAGTTACATTTGAATATTCATTTTTGTTCTCCTGTTTCTGTCCTTGGGTTGAGTTTAAAGTGGACTTTGCTATCGTCAGCAGCAATGGTAAACTTTCTGACACTGGCGATTGAACGTGAAGATGGACTTTTGTCAATTGACCCAAAATAGTACAAGAGACAACTGTGGCAACATGGCAGAATGTGGCATGGGGGTAAATATTAGAATAAAAAGTATTTTATTGTCGTACTCTTGTAGTTTATTTATTTTGGTTCTTGTTGCACAATTGTGAATGTTCTCTGTTTTGAATTGTGCTTCATATTAAAAACATTTTTAATCCTCAAGCTACACAAATCAACCAACTGTCTTGTTGGATAATGTAAGAAAATATGCTTTTAGGTTTGTTCAAAAACATAAGACGACCATAGTCATACGAACAACTTTACTGTTCTCAGTTAGCCTACTTTAACATTTCAAAACCTCTAACCAAAATATACAAATCAAACATCCAGCTTTTAATTTACAGAAATGTAAATCATTAAGTGTTGCCGCAAAAATATAATTACAATTATTGAAATAAAGATGTAATATTACATACTCACAAAAAAACAATACTCCATAAAAAGTAATATATTGTTCAAAGGCAGACTTGATTCTAGTGTAGACAGGATTGTAGTTTTATATCAGTACCATTTTAAAAAAACAATACTTTGGGTCGTTACACAAATTAGGTGACTATTGAGTAGTGTAACTTGGTGATATTTTATTTCACCTATTTTAACATTGTCATAAAGAGCACATGTTCAACTTAAACACATTTTCCCATCAAGAGGTTAAATTTAAACAATGACTATAGTAAGTGCCAAATAAAGTAACAGGGTTGACGACTTAATCTTAAATCAGCCATAAATCCCTTAGTGACAGAGGGAATGGAAGCTTGTTGTGTGCAACGGAGGGGCAATTGAATTCAAGCTTCAACAAAATAAACGTATTGTTAAAACCTTTCTAGCCTGTCTTATCTATTGGTAACAGGGTTGAAGTGTTATGCTCGACCCGCTCAGTTTTCCACCACAAAACACCAGAAAATGGGTTAAAAGAATAGAACCAGCTCACCTGCTTTGACTATGAGATGTTCAATGTCTCATTTAAAAAATAAAATAAAAATTCACCATTAAAACAAGAGTTCAGTTCACTTAACAGGGTTGACTTGAAAAAGTGGGACAGGTTTTTTTTAACCTTAAAATGAATCACTAGTAACATTAAATTACTGTCAAGCAACAAAATAACTAGGGCTTTACAATTACATTACATTTTAGTCATTTAGCGGACGCTCTTATCCAGAGCGACTTACAGTTAGTGAGTGCATACATTTTTCATACTGGCCCCCTGTGGGAAACGAACCCACAACCCTGGCGTTGCAAGCGCCATGCTTTACCAACTGAGCTACAGGATGGCGGATTCATACATACAACTTAATAATTAAATACTCTTAGATAAAAGGTGGAATATTTTGGGACGCACATCATAAAGGGAGGGGAGGGGTGGAGGAGTAGAAAGATGTGATGGGAGCGGAGGATTAGAAAGATGGCTGCTGTGTGTTCCTCTCTCAGGATGATATTCTCTGTTTCTTTCTGTCATAATAACATGATAAATCATCATGGTGATAGAAAAATAAAATAAATGTTTTAAAGAAAGTCAACGAATGAAACTGAACTTTTTCCAGTGCACAACCTTAAACCAACAACCAGGAAAAAGAAAGAAAGAACATTTCAATTTTAAGTTCAGTCCTCCAATGATCAAGCAAGTCTATTGGCCTGGGACTTGAAGATATGGGGATGATTTCACCCCTGATGTAAGGAAAAAATTAAAAGAGATAAGGGGTGGAGGGAGACAGAGCAGGGGGTTTGGGAGGGGCCTGGTGTTTGTGTAAGTGTGTGTATTAAAAACAGACAGCAGTCATTAAGGGTGGAGTCCAGTGAAGGCTGTTGGGAGGAGCCACAGGAGGACGTGCCCACTGCAATGGCTGAAATGGAAAAACTGAACGGAGTCAAACGTGGTTTCCATATGTTTGATACCGTTCCATGAATTCCATTCCAGCCATTACAATGAGCCCGTCCCCCTACAGCTCCTCCCTACATCCCTATAATGATGGTGAACTTGGAGAAATGTTGGGGTTAAGTGGGTTAAAATCTTCCTAGAAGTCACAAAGCATGCACAGATAGCATCTTTGGCACTTTAGCAAGTCTTTATTCATATAAAAAAATTTAAAGGGCACTTCCAATTAATATAACAGGCTTTTAAAATTCAATATTTGTGCACAATTTCTACTTAAAATATCAAAAGGCACTGATTTTGTGGAACGACCCCTCTATATCAAAAGTAATATACTTGTTCAAAGGCAGACTTGATTCCAGTGTACACAGGATTGTAGTTATATATCACTGCCCTCTTCTCCACCTCTTCATCCTGAAATTTGTGAAAGTTTTTTCTAGCTGTTAATGAAAAAAGCAGTGGCTTAGATTAGTGGTTGAAACATATTGTAACAGGTGGAGTTCGATCTTGACCACACCCTTCATGGTTCAGCCAAGGGGGGTACATTCAAGAACTCTCCCTTTTACAATAACATCACGCTACATATTGAGACAAACATACAAAAGATTCAGTGACATTTTGCAACACATTACTGTAATAACTACCTTCATTGACAAAGAAATCGGCCATGAAGAAAGTGGTCTTCACAGCCAATGGAGTGTGTGGAATGTACGGCTCTGTCATTTCAAATGCATTCTTTTCAGGGTGCCACTGGGTTCCATAGATGGGGAAACCATATGCTACAGAGAAAACAATTAACCTATCAATGAATGTCATCTTATGTGAGTACATTTTCCCGTTTTTTTTTAAAGTTACTGTATATACACTACTGTTTGCTAAGTTAGAACAATGAATGTGCTTTACCTTCCATAGTTGACACAAACTCCGTTTTCCCATCACTGCTTGTGGTCAGGACTTTGTAGAACTTCCTAAGGTCTGCATTGCTGTTATATGTCTGGATTGCAATGTTGCACGAATAGTTCACAATTAATGCTACAGAGGATACATAAAAGCCTATCACTTGGTGATTGTACACAGACACAATGCAAATACCGCCAGAGTGAGACTCCATCCATGGGAGTTTGCAGTGATTGGCTCAGAGGCCAGGGCATCCAGGATCTCTGCTGGGAAGCCCTTGAACAGCCTACTCTCTCTTGATCCTGAAAGTGTAATAATTTCACATTACTTCAAGTTGCAGATTATTGTTTTGGTGAGACTGTGTGCATTCTTGCAGCATTTGGATAAGTGTACCTGTTCCATTTGTGATCATTTGGGTAATGTAATTCTGGTCAAATCTGATGAGTGATGCTTTTCTCTTATGTCTGTATGATAACATGGTGTTACACGCAAGTACAGGTACAACATACCATTAGTAAAAACCAGTGGCAATGCCACTCCACTGGTGTTGGTGTGGGACAGAAGCATCTTTCCACTGGTCAGGTACGTCAATTCCTCAAATCCAAGACACGTGCCCCATACAGGGAAATAGTCACCCCTTGAGTTGGCCTAAAAAGTCAATATTTTTTCCCGATAAGAACAGGTTTATTTCCCCACATATTTGGTAAGGTAAAATAAAGCTCCAGAGACAATATGTGAAAGTATCAAAAGGAACATGTCATACCTCTATGGCAAGCTCGTAAAATATTCTAGCAGCGTTTGCATACCCAGATGTGAGGATGCTAACACCACCACCAGGGTAGAGTATTCTAGGGGGGGGGGGGGGGTATATATAGATCATTAAATCATTTTTAAAATATAAATTACAAAAACAACACGACAGTTGGTCTTGTACAGCAAATAGCATAGTTGACACCTACCCGTTAATGGAGTTGAACAGTGTTTTGTACTCTTCCAGTGTCTTATTTATCCTGTAGAAATCACAGAAAAGTTTGTCAGGGGTTCATAGTAAAGTAGTTGGGAAATTAAACATTTGGCCTATCTAATATTCAGTCCAATTTTATGAGATATTCATAACAATATTTGAAAAGCTGTTAAGTGCTCAACTAACGTTATAGTACATTATCAATCTACATGAAGCTTACATCACAGGGACGACTCTTGCTCCAGCAGACTCCAGGAACTTGACATAGGATGCGGCTATATAAGACGCCTTCTGTGGTCGAGGCGAGTGTACCTCCTGCGCCAAAACACCTTAGGAAATCGCAGATACAGTTTAGAAAGTGAGTTACAAGGAGTTGAATAAAGTTTCAACGTATTTTCAGTAAAGCTACAATATGTAATAAAATATTCCTTTGATTTTGAAGAATAACCTGTACCTTAGGCCTACTCTGAATGGGTTACATTTATAATAGAGAATAGTACCCATCATTCTGAGGACTAATTGTAGCTATGGTTTCTGTATTTGTTATCAGAGGGGACTTTAAAGAGGTCGAACTAGATATGCAACATTCTAAACTCACATAATCATCTATTAGGCAGTGTTAATGATACAGGTAACAATTTATAATAAATACATTATGTAACACTTTAGTTTCTTAGTCATGTGATGCAGAAGCTCACCAATAATAGGCTCGTCGTTCCTCTTCAGCGTTGTGCACAAAGACAAAGTTGAGAAAGCAAAACAAAACAGTAGGGCAAAATTGCTCATTTTCTAAACGTGTTTCCACATGTGGATCAAATGTTTCTTGTTAAAAATTGGAACGAGCTTCTCCGTCTAAAGAGGACTTGATGGTGATGACACTGAAACCTAGGACATATCTATAGGTTGCATACAGTTTATGCTTCTCATGAGGAGGATCTCTTCTTCTTCAATGAGGTTTAACGGCGGTTGGCATCCAATTTGTTGCATTACCGCCACCTACTAGACTGGAGTATAACTCCCTTATATTTTGCTTGACAAATTCAAAATAGAGGAAGATTTCAATTGCATACTCCTGGCGTCCTTCTCAAAACCTATTGGAGAAGGTCAGAGGGGTGGGACCTTTGGCTTACTCATCCAATGGGTTTTGAGGAGACGAAGGAGCGCGGGTGGGAGGATGTTTTTTTATCAAATGAGAAAAGGCCACATTCCTGCTACATGACTTCTCCGAAACTGCTGCGTAAATTCTCCTAAAACAACCTACGAAAAAGTTTCCCATGTTTTTCCTTGCAGCTTAATAAAATCGAAATGCCCGTTTTCAGCCTTCAAAATAAAAGCTCAAACTGTAGAGGAGAGGTTTTTGTTTTTTCTCTACTATCTTTGATAAAAGTGCCCCTGAACCTTGATCACATTGAAATTTAATAAAAATGTAAAACAACAATATATTTCATTGTTCTAAAGTGTTGGTTAATTGAAAATAAATATGATATGACCCACAGGCGGCTGGTGAGGGGAGGACGGCTCATAATAATGTCTGGAATGGAGTGAATGGAATGGTATCAAACACATGGTAACCATGTGTGTGATGTGTTTGATACCATTCAATTTACTCCATTCCAGCCATTACTATGAGCCCCTCCCCAAGTAAGGTGCCACCAGCCAACTGTGATTGGACTGTACATTAGATATAATAATTGGACTGTATGCATCAGCTAATCTCAAATATGAACGGCTATTCTATAGAATACCTGAAAATTGAACAAAAAAAGTGTGGCATGTACAGCAGTTTCTGTACAACGTGTCTTCAGACAGGCATCCACAATGTTATGATATGAGGAACAAAAATGACAAAGCATTTTTAAATTTATACATCCACTATGATTGGAGGGATTAGATAAATGCATCCATTCTTCATCCATTTGTTTTTGTTTTTAAATAATAAGGATAAAAAGTGTTTCTGTTGGCGGAGATGAAAAATCTCCCACAGTATTAAGTATTTGGCGCCCTCAGGTGTTCATTTCTTAGAGGTGCGTAGAGCAGGATGCATAAAGCTCATGACGCATTGAACGGGGGAAACACAAGCTGTGTTCGAATACTCGTACTAACCGCACTAAGCGTACTATTTGTGACGTGAATTGAGTATATAGTATGCTTATTGATCATAATATGGATATAGTTAGTATGCCAAAAGTTCCCGGATGTCGTACTAAATTCGCCAAAATGCTTTTAGGGCCCATAATGCAATTCTTCAGAAAATGGGCGTGGCTTCAAAACGTTTTCAGATTTGAAGAAAATGGCGAGTCCGACTACAGCGGACACAAATTCATTGCTTTAACTAATTATGACAAATGTTAAGAAAATGTTGAGCAATGTAATAAAGTCAGGACTTTTCAAATAAGTTACGTTACGTTGGCTGACAATTTGTTAGCTACGCTATCCTTACGAACCGCATAGCATTACAGCAGTATGTACCGGTATGTTAGCTAGTTACCTAACGTTAGTTGGCTACTAATACATCGAACTTGCCAGGCAGTATATTAACTATCTGCTATCTAACTAACTATCAACATTTATTGACTTGATTATTCACATAATTCTTAGCTAAGTGGTATAGTCATTGTGCGTTTCAATAGAAAATTGTTCATTCTGGCTATCTTCTCCGATTTCAGAGCACTCTCGTCTGAGTCGTGTGCCAGAGCGCAGAATAACTGATGAATTTACGAACGCTCAACACCCGTCGAATACGGCCGGTGTCAGTAAACGTCTGCAAAAAAAAGCGGGATTCAATTGTTGCCAGCAGCACAGTTACAGTCACCAACGCTCTGGATAACATGAAAACAGCCTAATCAGCTATGCTAGGGCGAGTAAAATGGTCAGAGTGAGGTGTTCTCTCATTTATGTGCAAGATGGTGCTGACAGATAAGGCAGCCATGCTAGCTCCTAAGCAACTTTGCAGTATTTTGTTTTTTATGTGTTATTTCTTACATTATTAGCCCATACAATTCGGAAATAACTTTGGGATATAAGAGCGGCGGTAACTCACCAGCATTACCAGCATCATGACCAGGAATACAAATTGGATCCTTTGTTCGTACCCCCAAGGGCAATTTAACTGATTCCAGAGGCTGATCCAAAACACCGCCGGAGGAGAAGAGGTATTCGGAGTGGACTCCCAGTCCGACTCAGGAGACGCGCACACCACCCACCGCTTCCAAGTATATTACTTGTTAATGTTCAGTCTCTGGATAATAAAGTTGACGAGCTCATGGCGAGGACCTCCTTCCAGAGAGATATCAGGGATTGTAACACACTCTGTTTCACGGAAACATGGCTCTCTCGGGATATACTGTCTGAGTCCGTACAGCCAGTTGGGTTCTCAGTTCATTGCGCAGACAGAAATAAAGATCTCTCCGGGAAGAAGGCCGGGGGGGGGGGTATATTTCATGATTTACTACTCATGGTGTGATTGTGAAAACATACAGAAACTCAAGTCCTTTTGTTCACCCGACCTAGAATACCATAATCAAATGCCGACCATATTACCTCCCAAGAGAATTCTCTTCGGTTATAGTCACAGCCATGTATATTCCCACTCAAGCCGATACCACGACTCTGTGCAAACTGGAAACCACATATCCTGAGGCCGCATTTATTGTAGCCGGGGATTTTAACAAAGCTAATCTGAGGAAAACACTACCGAAGTTCTACCAACACATTGACTGTAGCACTCGCTCTGAGAAAACACTGGACCACTGCTACTCAACTTCTCAAAATGCCTACAAGGCAAATCTGATCACGACTCCATTTTGCTCCTCCCTTCCTATAGGCAGAAACTCAAACAGGAAGTACCTGTGGTACGGACTATTCATTTACATTACATTTAAGTCATTTAGCAGACGCTCTTATCCAGAGCGACTTACAAATTGGTGCATTCACCCTATAGCCAGTGGGTAAACCACTTTACAACAATTTTTTTTTTTTTTTTTTTTGGGGGGGGGGGGGGGGGCTAGAAGGATTACTTCATCCTATCCCAGGTATTCCTTAAAGAGGTGGGGTTTCAAATGTCTCCGGAAGGTGGTGAGTGACTCCGCTGTCCTGGCGTCGTGAGGGAGCTTGTTCCACCATTGGGGTGCCAGAGCAGCGAACAGTTTTGACTGGGCTGAGCGGGAACTATGCTTCCGCAGAGGAAGGGGAGCCAGCAGGCCAGAGGTGGATGAACGCAATGCCCTCGTTTGGGTGTAGGGACTGATCAGAGCCTGAAGGTACGGAGGTGCCGTTCCCCTCACTGCTCCATAGGCAAGCACCATGGTCTTGTAACGGATGCGAGCTTCAACTGGAAGCCAGTGGAGTGTGCGGAGGAGGGGGGTGACGTGAGAGAACTTGGGAAGGTTGAACACCAGACGGGCTGCGGCATTCTGGATGAGTTGTAGGGGTTTAATGGCACAGGCAGGGAGCCCAGCCAACAGCGAGTTGCAGTAATCCAGACGGGAGATGACAAGTGCCTGGATTAGGACCTGTGCCGCTTCCTGTGTAAGGCAGGGTCGTACTCTCCGAATGTTGTAGAGCATGAACCTGCAGGATCGGGTCACCGCCTTGATGTTAGCGGAGAACGACAGGGTGTTGTCCAGGGTCACGCCAAGGCTCTTCGCACTCTGGGAGGAGGACACAACGGAGTTGTCAACCGTGATGGCGAGATCATGGAACGGGCAGTCCTTCCCCGGGAGGAAGAGCAGCTCCGTCTTGCCAGGGTTCAGCTTGAGGTGGTGATCCGTCATCCATACTGATATGTCGGCCAGACATGCAGAGATGCGATTCGCCACCTGGTTATCAGAAGGGGGAAAGGAGAAGATTAGTTGTGTATCGTCAGCGTAGCAATGATAGGAGAGGCCATGTGAGGATATGACAGAGCCAAGTGACTTGGTGTATAGGGAGAAAAGGAGAGGGCCTAGAACTGAGCCCTGGGGGACCAGTGGTGAGAGCACGTGGTGCGGAGACAGCTTCTCGCCACGCCACTTGGTAGGAGCGACCGGTCAGGTAGGACGCAATCCAGGAGTGAGCCGCGCCGGAGATGCCCAGCTCGGAGAGGGTGGAGAGGAGGATCTGATGGTTCACAGTATCAAAGGCAGCAGACAGGTCTAGAAGGACAAGAGCAGAGGAGAGAGAGTTAGCTTTAGCAGTGCGGAGAGCCTCCGTGACACAGAGAAGAGCAGTCTCAGTTGAATGACCAGTCCTGAAACCTGACTGGTTTGGATCAAGAAGGTCATTCTGAGAGAGATAGCAAGAGAGTTGGCTAAAGACGGCACGCTCAATAGTTTTGGAAAGAAATGAAAGAAGGGATACTGGTCTGTAGTTGTTGACATCAGTGGGATCGAGTGTTGGTTTTTTGAGAAGGGGTGCAACTCTCGCTCTCTTGAAGACGGAAGGGACATGGCCAGCGGTCAAGGATGAGTTGATCAGCGAGGTGAGGTAGGGGAGAAGGTCACCGGAGATGGTCTGGAGAAGAGAGGAGGGGATGGGGTCAAGCGGGCAGGTTGTTGGGCGGCCTGCAGTCACTAGTCGCAAGATTTTATCTGGAGAGAGAGGGGAGAAAGAAGTCAAAGCATAGGGTAGGGCAGTGTGAGCAGGACCAGCAGTGTCATTAGACTTAACAAACGAGGATCGGATGTCGTCAACCTTCTTTTCAAAGTGGTTGACGAAGTCATCCACAGAGAGGGAGGAGGGGGGGGGGGGGGGGGGGGGGTGGGGGGGAGGATTCAGCAGTGAGGAGAATGTGGCAAAGAGCTTCCTAGGGTTAGAGGCAGATGCTTGGAATTTAGAGTGGTAGAAAGTGGCCTTAGCAGCAGAAACAGATGAAGAAAATGTAGAGAGGAGGGAGTGAAAAGATGCCAGGTCGGCAGGGAGTTTAGTTTTCTTCCATTTCCGCTCCGCTGCCCGGAGCTCTGTTCTGTGAGCTCGCAATGAGTCATCAAGCCACGGAGCTGGAGGGGAGGACCGAGCCGGCCGGGAGGATAGGGGACACAGGGAGTCAAAGGATGCAGAAAGGGAGGAGAGGAGGGTTGAGGAGGCAGAATCAAGAGATTGGAGGGAGAAGGATTGAGCAGAGGGAAGAGATGATAGGATGGAAGAGGAGAGAGTAGTGGGAGAGAGAGAGCGAAGGTTGCGGCGGCGCGTTACCATCTGTGTAGGGGCAGAGTGAGTAGTGTTGGAGGAGAGCGAGAGAGAAAAGGATACAAAGTAGTGGTCGGAGACATGGAGGGGAGTTGCAGTGAGATTAGTAGAAGAGCAACATCTAGTAAAGATGAAGTCAAGCGTATTGCCTGCCTTGTGAGTAGGGGGGGACGGTGAGAGGGTGAGGTCAAAAGAGGAGAGGAGTGGAAAGAAGGAGGCAGAGAGAAATGAGTCAAATGTAGACGTAGGGAGGTTGAAATCCCCCAAAACTGTGAAGGGTGAGCCATCCTCAGGAAAGGAACTTATCAAGGCGTCAAGGTCATTGATGAACTGTCCAAGGGAACCTGGAGGGCGATAGATGACAAGGATATTAAGCTTAAATGGGCTAGTGACTGTGACAGCGTGGAATTCAAATGAGGAGATAGACAGATGGGTTAGGGGAAAAATTGAGAATGACCACTTGGGAGAGATGAGGATTCCTGTGCCACCACCCCTCTGACCAGATGCTCTCGGGGTATGCGAGAACACATGGTCAGACGAGGAGAGAGCAGTAGGAGTAGCAGTGTTTTCAGTGGTAATCCATGTTTCCGTCAGCGCCAGGAAGTCGAGGGACTGGAGGGTAGCATAGGCTGGGATGAAGTCAGCCTTGTTGGCGGCAGAACGGCAGTTCCAGAGGCTGCCTGAGACCTGGAACTCCAGGTGTGTGGTGCGTGCAGGGACCACCAGGTTAGAGAGGCAGCAGCCACGCGGTGTGAGGCGTTTGTGTAGCCTGTGCGGAGAGGAGAGAACAGGGATAGGCAGAGGCATAGTTGACAGGCTGCAGCAGATGGCTACAATAATGCAGAGGAGATCGGAATGAAATGAACTAAACATCTGGGAAAGGAGAGAGCAGGCCTCCCTCACCAAAAATATATATATATATATATATATATATATATATATATAACTCTCCCAACTTCCACCTCAGAAACTATAATTGTTTCACTGAACCACCCGAATAAAACTCTCCCAACTTCCACTTTAGAAATTAGAATTGTTGTAAACTACAGCAGACTGTTATCAGTAGCTGTAATTAAGTACAGCAGCTACCAACCACCTAACGTTAATGCCTCGGATAATGAGGTTAGAAAAACAGCTGAATGGTGGCAGCTAGCTGGCTCAATCACAGGTACTCTTAAGCATGAAATAACATTGGAAACAACTAACCACAGTTGCTAAAAGTTACCAGTAGCTACCCGCTAGCTAGCTAGCTAGCTTTGTTGGTCCAAGTAGTGGGTAAGCTAGCCTCGTGCTTCGCCGGGGTCCGCCGAATACAATACTTACCTACAATAATTACCTACAATAACCTACAATAACTACCTGAGTAAACTACCTATAATACCTAACTACAATACCTACCTACAATCTAAATACATGGTTTAAGCTTTACTCAAAACCATATAAGAAGCCAAGCTTACCTTTCATAACGCAGCAATGATTAAACATTGGGTAGCTAGCACAAAGATATTGTATTTAGCTACTACAGTACAGCCAGCTGGTAGTGTTGGCTAGCTAGCAATGGCTGCTGTGTTGACTTTGTTTGAAAAACGGCGTCGCTGCGAACGAATGTAGCTGGCTAAAAGGATATTGTTTTTAGTTGCTACCGTTGCTAATAGCTACTCGCCAGCTAATCCAGGAGGTGAGTTAGCTAGCTAGCTTCGTGCTACACCCGGCACCGCCGAATACAAAAGTAACCTACAATAACTACACAACAACTACCCACAACAGCCCACGATGCCTACCTATACTACTTAATAATATACAGCCCACGATGCCTACCTATAATACCTAACTACAATCTAAATACATAGTTTAAGCCTTACTCGACAAAGCCCAAGCTATGTATAAAGCCAAACTGGCAGACTGCAATCAGTAGCTGTAATTAAGTACAGCAGCTACCAACCACCTAACGTTAAATTCAACACTGGTCTGACCAATTGGAATCCATGCTTCAAGATTGTTTTGATCACGCGGACTGAGATATGTTCTGGGTAGCCTCTGAGAATAATATCGACGAATACGGTGACTGAGTTTATCAGGAAATGTATAGGATATGTTGTACCCACTGTGACTATTAAAACCTACCCAAACCAGAAACCGTGGATAGATGGCAGCATTCGCACAAAACTGAAAGTGCGAACCACCGCATTTAACCATGGCAAGGTGACTGGGAATATGACCGAATACAAACAGTGTAGTTATTCCCTCCATAAGGCAATCAAACAGGCAAAACGTCAGTACAGAGACAAAGTGGAGTAGCAATTCAACGGCTCAGACACGAGACGTATGTGGCAGGGTCTACAGACAATGACAGACTACAAAGGGACAACCAGTCTTGCTTCCGAATAAGCTAAAACACCTTTTTCGCCCACTTTGAGGATAACACAGTGCCACCGACGTGGCCAGCTACCAAGGACTGTGGGCTCTCCTTCTCCGTGGCTGACGCGAGTAAGACATTTAAGCGTGTTAACCCTCAAAAGGCTGCCCCCCCAGACGGCATCCCTAGCTGTGTCCTCAGAGCATGCGCAGACCAGTTGGCTGGTATCATGGCTCAGGCTAAAACCCAGATGCAGACACAGGAGGCAGATAGTACGAGTCTCAGAGTTTATTACTGAACAAGGGGCAGGCAAAAGGTAAGTCAAGGCAGGCAAAGAGTCGTAATCCAAATCAGAGTCAGACAGGTACAGGACGGCAGGCAGGATCAGGGTCAGGACAGGCAGAAAGGTCAAAACTGGGAAGACTAGGGAAAAACTAGAGCACTGGGAACACACTGGTAGGACTTGACGGGACAAGACGAACTGGCAACAGACAAACAGAAAACGCAGGTATAAATACACAGGGGATAATTGGGGAAAATGGGAGACACCTGGTGGGGGTGGAGACAAGCACAAAGACAGGTGAAACAGATCAGGGTGTGACAGGCTGGAGTGTTTACGGACATATTCAATCTCTCCCTATCCCAGTCTGCTGTCCCCACATGCTTCAGGATGTCCACCATTGTTCCTGTACCCAAGAAAGCAAAGGTAACTGAACTAAATGACTATCACCCGTAGCACTCACTTCTGTCATCATGAAGTGCTTTGAGACTAGTCAAGGATCATATCACCACTACCTTACCTGACACCCTAGACCCACTTCAATTTGCTTACCGCCCCAATAGATCCACAGACGATGCAATCACCATCGCACTGCACACTGCCCTATCCCATCTGGACAAGAGGAATACCTATGTAAGAATGCTGTTCATTGACTATAGCTCAGCATTCAACACCATAGTACCCTCCAAGCTCATCATTAAGCTCGGGGTCCTGGGTCTGAAAAACGCTCTGTGCAACTGGGTCCTGGACTTCCTGACAGGTCTCCCCCAGGTGGTGAAGGTAGGAAACAACACCTCCACTTCAATAAAATGTTATTTGATTTATAGTAGGCTCACTGTGTGTTTTATTATTGGAAACATCTCACACAATACTGTACCTCTAGGTGCCCTGCAACCCTCAATTCAATAAAATGTTAAAGCTTCTTCACTCATAGGCATTATGAAGCTGTGGTACACCTATCGGTTTTCCAGGTTTTATGAGGTTATATCCACAAAAATGAACTTGATATTGTCCATGGCGTGCTGGACATTGCACAAGCCGTGCACGGCATTCTCAAAGATGCTCTTGGCAAACTGTGCACGCAGAGAGTTGGATTTGGCTTGCTTGGCCTGTTCAGGATCGGCAGGCCCCATCATCTCTCTCCATTCTGCGATAGCATTTTATTTTCTCAGGATCATCATGATGGATGGACCTCTACAAAAGACACATCAATTCATCCGTTAAAGCTGATGTTGTGTTAAGACCAGGGTTGGGGTCAATTCCATTTCAGTTCGATCAATTCAGGAAGTTAATCGAAATTCAAATTTCTCATTTAAAATAAATGTCACTTTTAAATTCTTTAATAAGAATTTCAATTAATCTCCTGAAATGGAATAGATCCCAACCTTGGTCAAGACTGAACAGCTTCATTCTAGCAATTAAACCATAAACTCAAATGATTGTGGTTCATGTCACCGTGACATGTAGTCAAACAGGTGATTGAAGAAGTCCTTCCCATTGTGATCTTTGTAGAACTCCTCTGCCATCTCTCGTGTCAGCTTTGTATCTTTCACTTGTGAAATGCTAAACCCAGCCTCTTTAATTCGATTCATAATGGTATCTAAAATAAAAATACAAAACCACCATTTTCATTGACATTCAATGTCATTACAGAAACAATACTTTCTCTTTAAAACAACCATTTGTAAGTTTATCTGTTGTAGAGGAACTTCAAATACATTCAAAGTGAAATAATCTGCAACAACCATCTATCCATAATGATAAATAACCATTAAGTCAGGACAGAGACCCAGGTACTGTACCTTTGTGTTCTTGTGTAGATTCAGGTTTGATCACGGCCAGTGTGTGCGCGGAGCCTCATCGGGAGTGGAGCTGCCATGAAGCTGGTTGATGGTCACATTGTCGATGGCAAACTGGGCTTGCAGACTAGGAATGAAGCACAATTACAGTGGCGAGATAAGCGAGATGGTTAATTTAACATACATAAATAATATGAAATGAACTATGACTATCCAAATGAAGTGTTCCCCAGTTGTTACCTTTCAGGGGATGTATCTTTGTACTTGAAAATAAGCTAATTTGAAAGATTTTACAAAAACGAACTAGATCATGTCAAACTGGCTAACATTCAGAAGTTTAAGAGAAATAGATACAAGGAAATGGTAGATGATTTCTGGTACGTTTGATCTAACCCCTCAAGTCCGCCTGACGTGGTACCATCGTGCATTATGCATGTATAATGGTTCTACTCTACAAACTGCAGTGAGAATCCAAACTTTTTCTTTGGCTGGATGAGCTCAGCGTGTTCAGGATGTATGATGGCTGTCAATGAAGTAGACTCTCTTTTACCCACATTATCTCCCTTGGACAGAATCAGGGCGTGGACAGGCCCACTAGACATGGCCTTCACAAACGCTGGCTAGAAGAAGAATAAAATCACTGTAGTCAGATTGTGTAAATTGTCAAGTATATATTCTTTTTTCATTACTTATGTTTTTTTCTTCTTGTTGTTAAACTAAACCTTCTGCTCAAGGGTACCTGGATACAATTGGGTGATACAACTGTGTAAACTGAAGTCTCATTCTTGTCACAGGTGCAGCATAGTAAGAAGTAATGTTCTTTGTCTTGCTTTCATTCACCTCTCCAGCTTTCTACTTATAAAAAGCATGAATCTGCTCTTCATCCAATACCCTCTCCTCCTCTGCTACAATTGAAAAACCAGCATCTATGTACAAACAACACATTTGTGATTTACATGCGGCCATTATATAATTATTCAAGTCAAATGCAATAACATGAACAGGAGATATTGTAAGAATTCAATGTGAAGCACTAAGAGGTAACCACCTTACTTTTTGTATGATTCCTTCCACTTGACCTCCTGCTACAGCATCTGGCTTTATGATGGCCACATGGTATGTACCATGATCTAATAATTACACACAGAAAATACTTCCTCAAATCCCCACCATTCAAACATACCCAAACCATGTCATATCATGAAAAGCTCAAAACTCAAATATGTCCGTAAAGTAAGGAGACCGATGTAGCAGCATTCAAGCAGTGAAATTGGTGACATAGGCCTACCTTTAATTTCTATGTTGTCATTTTGACTGGCTGGAGGGAGGCTTCTTTCTTGCTTGATGATAGTCCACTAAGAAAAGTCCTTGGACCTATTTGAAAGTTTGGTGGTGGGTACAAAATGCAAATCACTATACCAGACTGCATACCCCTTACTGCTGACAATGTTAGGAACCACTTACTTTAGGTACAGTACATATTTTGAACCCAATTTTTGCTTCTTCTTCTCTTGATCCACCAGTTCCAACACAGTTTTTTGTAGAAGAGGCCCATTGACTCCTCTTAATATTGACACGTGTGTACCACCCTGAAACAGCAGAGCAGGCCACAAAGTCAAATGAAAGGTTTACTCTGTGCACAAATGTCAAAATAGCATGTCACTAACAAACATCAGGACATTTTTTGACATTTCTCATGGTTATGACACAGTTATGACAGGTGTCCTAACACAGCCTAAGTGGGTAAGTGACATGTCATATGTCATAACACCTGTCAAACTGTTCCGATGCACGAAAAATGACACTGTCTGTAACTTGACTCTCAGTGATATAAGATCATGACATTATGACATGACAATATTATGATGCTGTTATACAGCACAATACTTACAGAGTAGAAAAAGAAGACCGGTTAACATTTCCCTTTAAGTGAACAGTCGGCCTCCCCCTGAAAGTGAGTTAAACAGGACACTTACTACAATTTACTGCAGTTTCCTTTTCGAAAAGGGTATTGATCTCCAGAGGCCCACACGGAAGTTGTGTTCTTTCATTGCACACCAAAGGGAAGAAAACACATGGAGGGACTTCCTGGAAACACCCTTTTTTCAGTTTTCTGTTGCAAAACTTTAACAAATATTTTCAGTTGTACAGTATGGCCAAATGAACACAACGCAGGTGTTGACAATAAACTCCAGCCTCGTCCCAGATCTATTTGTGATGTCTGGCAAAATGGCACTTAGATCTAGGTCCAGGCTACTGGTCTGGTACTTGGGTCTGGATCATGGACCGACCACACACAGGCAGGAATTATTTTGGGCTAGGGTTAGTTTTAATGCAGGGTTACCAATTGGGGTATCAAAAGTGCACCAGGATCAGAATCAGATGGTGACTGAAGCTGAAAAAGCCATTACCACTGTGAAGTGGAAACAGGTGATCTCCATATTCGCTCCCCAATTTTCTGAAGATGTTCTGAACAGCCTTGCATGACCCACACCTTCTCTGGTAGACATCTCTAATGACAAACATGGATATCAGCAGTGGGCAGAGCCCCACCTGTTTTGAGTTCCTGTTTTGCATTTTATTCTGGCATTAATACGTGTCACATATCAGTTTGTAAACAAATATATATAATCATTGAGTTAATAAAGCTGCATACAAACATGGTCTCTTTTTTGCTTTCTTGAGTAAGGCAGCACCAAAATGCAGGTGTTTCAGCCTAGCTCAGTGCTTTCTGTGGTGGTAGGGCAGCCAGCGGAAAATACGGAGCGTAGGGGTTGGTAATGTTCTCTAGTTGCGTCGTGATTGGCTCAGTGTTCTGTCACTCATCAACGCCAAATCTAAGGGTAGAGCTCGACAATTCAAGCCCCTTGGGTACTGCCATAAGAGTTACATTAGAAGTGCCCATCCAAGAAGGCTCAAGGTCATTGGCCACAGATAAAATTACATCAAATCACGTTCTATCTACAGTAGCTTTGATTGGACTGGTCATGTCAACATCATACTTTCAAAATCTTAGCTAGCAGTCATCATCATGAATCAAGTCGACAATCTACTGGCAAATCCTTTTTAATCCTTGTCATATGAAGATAAATTATAGGTAAATCATATAGGTGCTCATTGGCCATAAACATTACACAACAAGTTTGAAATCGCAAATTCAACAATGAGTGGTTTGGAAGGAATCAGTGGCTAACTGCAAGCATTGCAAAGCAATCACTAGCCTGCTATTCAGTGGAGTGGCTGTGTGTGTCACGATCATCGGGAACATAGGACCAATGCGCAGCGTTATTTGCGAACATATTTATTATAGATAATGATCACACAAACAAAACGAAAACGTGACGTCCCTGGTTACATACACAAACCAACACGGAACAAGATAATAAAAAAATAAAATAAAAAAAGTGCCATTTAGCAGACGCTTTTATCCAAAGCGACTTACAGTCATGCATGCATACATTTTTTAATTTTTTTTGTGTATGGGTGGTCCCGGGGATCGAACCCACTACCTTGGCGTTACAAGCGCCGTGCTCTACCAGCTGAGCTACAGAGGACCACAACCACTGTGGGAAAACAGCCTGTCTAAATATGGTTCCCAATCAGAGACAACCAGCAACAGCTGACACTCGTTGCCTCTGATTGAGAACCACTCTGGCCAACATAGAAATACAACAACTAGAATACACAAAGGAAACTCACACCCTGGCTCAACATACAAGTGTCCCCAGAGCCAGGGCGTGACAGTACCCCCCCCTAAAGGCGCGGACTCCGACCGCGCCAACCAAATACCACAGGGGAGGGACCGGGTGGGCACTCCGCCTTGGCAGCGGATCCGGCTCCGGGCATGATCCCCACTCCCTCTCTAACCCCCCAAAGTACCCCTGGTCCGGTCTGGCCCTGCTGACCGGAGCTGAACTGAACACTGGTGGAGCGGATTGCTCTAGCTCCGGCATGGAGCAACTGACCGGTGCCGGACCAGGCACCGGTGGAACAGGCACGGGCCGTGCCAGACTGACGACGCACACCACTGGCTTGGTGTGGGGAGCAGGAACGGACCGGACCGGGCTGGCGACGCTCACCATTGACTTGGTGCGGGGAGCAGGAGCGGGCCGGACCGGGCTGGCGACGCTCACCATAGGCTTGGTGCGGGGAGCAGGAGCGGGCCGGACCGTGCTGGCGACGTGCACCATTGACTTGGTGCGGGGAGCAGGAGCGGGCCGGACCGGGCTGGCGACGCGCACCATTGGCCTGGTGCGGGGAGCAGGAACAGGCCGGGCCGGGCTGGCGACACGCACCATAGGCTTGGTGCGGGGAGCAGGAACAGGCCAGGCCGGGCTGGCGACGCGCACCATTGGCTTGGTGCGGGGAGCAGGAACAGGCCGGGCCGGGCCGGCGACGCGCACCATAGGCTTGGTGCGGGGAGCAGGAACAGGCCGGGCCGGGCTGGCGACGCGCACCATTGGCTTGGTGCAAGGGACAGGAACAGACCGGACCGTACTGGGGACACACACCACTGGCCCTACGCAGGGATCAGGAACGGGCCGGACCGGACTGGTAACACACCCCAGTACCTCTCGCCGTGCCTCTACACCTTCCTTCCCCTTTTTGACCAGTGGCCCCCGTAACCTGGCGGCCTCCTCTGCCAACCCGCTGGGCCGCTCTATCGCGGTCTCCTGCTGCCCCGTCGTCCACGGCGTGAGCCCCCCCCTAAAAAATTTCTGGGAGTCTCTCCTCCCCGTGGACCAGGCCTCCATAGTTCTCGCCCAACTCGCGCTCTTCTGCTTCCAAGTCAAGCCCCTCTCTTGCTCACACGGCTTGACCCAGTCGAGGAGGCGCTGGATATCCGCTAGAGATTTCCCTGGCGATGGCTCCTGGACCCGCTGCTTGGTCCAGTTCTGGTGGGATCTTCTGTCACGATCATCGGGAACAGAGGACCAATGCGCAGCGTTATTTGCGAACATATTTATTATAGATAATGATCACATGAACAAAACAACAAAACGTGACGTCCCTGGTTACATACACAAACCAACACGGAACAAGATCCCACAACCACTGTGGGAAAACAGCCTGTCTAAATATGGTTCCCAATCAGAGACAACCAGCAACAGCTGACACTCGTTGCCTCTGATTGAGAACCACTCTGGCCAACATAGAAATACAACAACTAGAATACACAAAGGAAACTCACACCCTGGCTCAACATACAAGTGTCCCCAGAGCCAGGGCGTGACAGTGTGGTCCCATGTCTGGGTTTAAGGGTCTATTTTCCAAGCTTAAAATGATAAACATTCAACATTGGCCATGCTGTCAATCCAGCATGATTTCTGCCACGCTCAAAACAACTGTTAACTCCGAACTGGGAAATCTGACTTCAGTGATTTCAAGACAACTGGGAACTCGGGGAAAAAACAAGCTCCGACTGGGAAAATACGTTATGAGCGGTCATCCAACTCGGAATTGTAAGTCGGGAACTCGGGCCTCTTTCTAGAGCTACTACCTGAAGATCACTGACGTCATCATGATTCTACCTTGGTTTTTTCAGAGTTCCCAGTTGTCTTGAAAGCACCATAAATCCAGAGAATGCCAGACTTTGATGACA